TTATTCACTCAGGAGCCAGGAAGGGCCACCTGGAGGCCTTCCAGGCACAGGTGGGCTCTGCCTGAGTCCCCCCTAGAACTGGCACTTCCCCATGAGCCCGGCCCAGTTGCAGGTGGACCACCTGACAGGAGCGGCCCCCCGGCCAGTGCTCTCTCTGGCTGGGGGTGCGGTGAGCAGCCAGACTGTAGGTTTTTCTGCTGTGTAAAGGGGGTGGGGGGCATCTACCAGGCCTTGTCCTGTTACCATCCAATTTCTGCAGGTTTGGTGGAAGTCCCCCAGGCTGACCTCGGCACACACGAACTGTCGGTGCACACGGCTTTAAGAGAACAAGTACAGAATCACCGTGGGTACAGGGTTTTGAAAGCTCAAAGGAGCTTCCAGAGACTCCTGTCACATCGAGAGCTCCCCTGACTTGGGGAGAAATCGTTAATGGAGTTGGAAAAAGGTGAGGCTCCTGAGGGGAAGTGAGAGGACTCGTTTCCTTGGAGAGTGATTGTGGGATGACTGGACAGCTGCCCTGCACGGGAAAAGGCCAAAGAGGACAACCACTGGGTATTTGTCCAGAGCGAGGAAGGTAAACCGCGGGGAAAATGACTTTGGCAGGCCAGCAGGGGGCGCTGGTCACCGAGACATGAAGAAGCGGGCTTTCCTTTGGGGTCTGGACCTGGGCAGTCAAGCCCTTGCCTCGGGGGATGGTCCAAGCCTTCTAGGTAAGTATCGATGTTCAGCAGCAATTTGCTGGGACACGCCCAATTCAGCACACGGCCTTGGGTCCCGGAGACCTCCTCTCTAAACCTCCTGTGACTTCAGATGGATTAAAAAAAATCGCAACAGCCCGGGCAGGCGTGAGGGTTATTTTCGGGTATGGTGCGTTAGGGGTCCTGACAGCGAGGAGGAGGGACGGGAGGGTTGCTGGATTCGGGAGCCCCTCGGGAGGGCTCGAGAAGTGACAGAAAGATCGTTACCTGCTCCTGTAAGCACTCCCGTTCATCGACGAGCTTTTTCAACCTGATGTCTGGAGAAACAAGAAAGACACAGGTTTAGGGCTCTCGGCGGGCCGCACCTTCCAGCAGGCGGGTGAGCGGGAGAATGAGCGTTCGGGTTAGTGGGGGTGATGATGAAGGTATTATGCACGTACCACAGCGAATGAGGCCACACACAGGATGGGGAGAGTTCCGCCGCGGGCGGCGCGGCGGCCAACTGCCCAGCGCATGCTTGTCTCGTCAGGGGCAGGTCCGGCCACACGCACACGGGCCGCTCTTCGACCCGGGGTTAGCATGCAGGGGCTCTAGGGCCAAACCACACTGCAACACAAAATCTCACAGGCTTCACGGCTTCACGTCGCCAGCGAGGTGCGCGCACGCTGAGAGCCACCCGCGTGTTCACTCGCCCGCGCCCTCCGAGTGCGCGCCCCAGCGGCTGCTCTCTCCAGGATCACCGGGGCCGGAGTTCTGACTGCCCGTTTGCGAATCAGAACTACACGTTTTGACTGCACGAGTCTGCTGTGCTCACCCGCTTGTCGAACACTTTTATTCATGCGAGGAAGAAGGCAGTAGCAGGATTTTGTCCTCCCCCTCCCCAGACACACCAGGATGCACCACGGAAGCATCTAGCAATCACCCTGAACCTCTCCCTGAAGGGCTGTTGAGGAACGCAACCTTCAGCACGCGGGGGAGACCCCGGCCTGAAGTGGCTGGAGGGGTTCGGGCTGAATCCCGCGGCAGCTTCGAGGGGAACCAGGAAGCAGACGGGGAAGCTCACACGTGCCGGGCCCCCAGTCTGTGCCGGGCACGGCTGTCACCCTTTCACCTGTGGAGCCTGCTAACTACTATGGCGTCCCAAGACCCAAGGCCCAGCACAATTAAGCCACTTTCCGGAGGCCTGGCCCACCCCCCCAGGCCCCCCACTGCTTTCCACCTCTGAACTCAGACCTCAGAGCCGGGCCCAGATCCCCCCCACTCCTGCCCCAGGGCCCTGCTCCAGAGGGACCCCGTCCTCAGGCCACCCAGCTTCTGACCGGCCCGTGGGAAACGGAAACAATTCATATAAAATGCGCCCTTGTTTCCATTTGAAAAGTCATGTATCCACATCCTAATCCTAGTTACATGCTTGCTCAAACTGTTTTTTCCAAACACCCCAAGTTGTTATTTTGGAAGGCACAGTAACAAGATAAACAAGACCAGAACTTGTTAGGGTGATTCATTCTTTCCCTTCCATAAATCCACTCAACACTGAAAAAAAATTTGTAGTAATAAACCGAGACCTTTTGTTCAATATCACTTTTTATTTGATCTTATGTGTCTCACATTCCTAAGTACGTAACCATGGACATCAGAAGTGACGCTGAACATGTCAGACAGCAGTCTTGGAGCTCACATAGGTTTTGGACAATTTTAAAGTTACTTTTCTATTAGGAGACTTCAAATACTCTGGATAGCGAGTAAAAAATGTTAAAATGTAATAATAGCCCTAGAAAAAAATAAAAATAAAAAATAAGCATCATCTAACCTTTAGTCTCATAGAGAAAAAATGAAATAGAGAGAGAAGTGGAAGTTTTAAGGAAGAGAAATTTTAAAGCAGAATTAAAGAAGATTAAAACTTAATAGTTTTAAGATGATAGAAAAAAGAAGGAAGCACAATTCTTTGATATGAAGAAAGTGAGCACCTTTTTAGAGTTTCAACCATTGATACTTAATTCGTTGGCTGGCTGGCACCCGCTCACTAATATATTTACTGTTTATCTTTCTTTTTGCTGTTTTTAAAAAGACTAAGAATTTTTAATCTTTAAAAGATTAAAAGATTAATATTTTATTGTTGTTCAATTACAGTAGTCTGCATTTTTTCCCAACCACTCCCCCCAACGGCAACTTACTGTAATTCACAACAAGAGCGTGGCGAGCCCGTCACCGCTCTGTGCTCACCGCTCACTGTTGCTCTAAAACACCCGATTCATAAGCAATGCCACCGGTTTAAAGGCCTTGTGAGTACAGTCTCGGGAAGAAGGCGTCAGAGAACTCGAAGTGACAATGTCTCAAATTCGGGGTTTTCTTTAACAGTGAGAAGTTAACGTGAGGTAGCTATGCAGGTGTTTTAGCAATACTGGTCAAGGTTACATTCTTTAAAATCTCGTTTTTATACCAAATTTGTGTAACTTCTCCAGTGCACCTTTCAGAAGCCCGTGGAACGAGGCACAAACAGCTAAGGCCGGTGGCCGGGCCGCGGGGCCGCCGAGCTCACGCCGGCCGCTCTTTCCTGCGGCCTCACACTGCCACCTTGCTCGCCCAGGGCACGGCCACGTCGACAACCAGTGACAGCCACGCCATCGAGCGGCCACTCTTCAGTGCTGCGCCCGGACCTGACCCTCTCCACACCCTGGAAGGCAGGTTCCAACCCCATTCTCAAGGTGCAAACTGAGGCCCCGTCAGGTGTGTAGCCGGCAGGGGACATCGTCCTATCAGGAGTGCGTCCCTCGTCCCTGTGCTGGTTTCAGGCAGCACGGGGGGTGGGGAGGGGCAGGCCTCCTCTGCCTGCCTGTGGCAGGGCACAGTCCCCTCCCGTCCGCGTTCGCCAAGGTAACGAGGGGAGACTGAGGTCTCTCCAGAAACCCACTAAGCGCCCAGCTTTCCCACCTCCTCCTCGCAGGACTGAGTCTGGCTATACGGTCAGCCTCACGGTCCCCGGGGCCACGAGGGCACCTGTTTCCTGTAATGAAGATGCTGACAGTTTGCTGCAGAGGGCGCCTGTCACCCCTGTTCGCAGGGCCCAGGGGTCCGTCTGCGCAGACGGGCGCTGTCCCCGAGGACGAGAGTCCACTGACAGAACACAGGGCCCCGGCCTGTCCTGCACAAGGGGCATTCTGGGCGTGCGGCGACTGCTCTTCTCCCCTGCTCCGTGTCACGGTGACACTCGGTGGCCCGGATTCCCCAGGGTTCGTGCTGGATGGGTGACCTTTGGACTGCTTTCTGATTCTGACTCTTTGGACACTGAAATCTTCCCCGCACGCCTGGCCCACCTCCAGGCCTCCCTGGCTCTCAGGGACCCCAGTCACCCTGTGTGAGGTGGAAGGGGCTCCACCAGGAGCATCGGCCACCTGCTGGGCTAGGATGTCCTGTCGCACTCAGACCAGAGGGACTGATGGTCACGGTGGGGACCGAGGGGACTGGGGAGTGGCTCGGATGTGCAGAGCCCTTTCTCTCCGCGGTGTACATGCCCGATTCTCAGCCTTCCCGCCCCCACCAGACGTGGGTTCACCTGCCCCGCACGGGCACAGGGCCTCCTGCATGGGAAGCGACCAAACGTTTATTCGTGGAACGAATGAGTGACCCAGTGAGGCGCTGCTGGCCCGGGGGTGTGAGCTGTGCCCGCCGTCCTTGTGTGTGCTGGTGAACAGCACCACACGGTGGTTTAAGGGCCTCAGCCTCCAGTGAGTCGCCCAGGGCTAGGGCCTTTCCCAGTGGGCACTGCAGCATGACTGCAGCTTTGCCAAGGCCAGAGGCATCAGCCAAACCCCTGAAACGCCTCTCCACCCTTGGACTGGATTCCCTACCAAGCCTCCTGTGCGTCCTCTATTCCTGTGGCCCCGGTGGGCAGAGGCCGGCGGCCCCGTTGCCCTCCACTCGGGATGCGCACACAGGAAGGCCACAAGTACCTGTCACGTCACCATGCTCTTGAAAGCATCCCCCATCCAGGCACACGGCACGGACACCCTTCTCCACGGGGGCTCCTCCTTGGACCCTCAGCTCACAGGCGACGCTGTGGCAGAAGCTCTCCTTGGGCCCCCTCCCCACCCAGTCCCGACGGCCCAGCCCCAGCCCCACCTAGATGGTCTGGATGCCAGGAGAGAACTTCAGTCCTCCCCGATGACGGGCGTCAGGTGTGGCCCCTCCCAGGACCCTGCCAGGGACTTGGCCCCTCAGAGGGGGGCACCACCGCACAGCTGGGCGACGGGCAGCAGGAGCCACGGTCGGAGTCCGTGCAGCCCAAAGAGTGGAACCTCAGGCTTGCGACACTCGGGAACGTCTTTATTGCAGTCGCCTCGAGTGCTGCCGAGGTGTTGGTCCTTCCTGCACTCAGGCGCATCTTGTAACAGCGACGTAGTTCACAGACTCTCACAAGTGACAACAGCATTCATAACGCTCGTTCTCTTGTGCTTTTACTGTGTTACAATTATTTTTAAATTTCACTTTACAATTATTTTTTAAAAAATGCTTCTTTATGTAGACAATGCAAATTTTGTTCAGGAAGATCAAAACAAGAATTTTCCAATATAATGGGCAAACAACAAATGCAAACATTTATACCAAAATACCAAAGTGCCTGAACAATTCAGGACCCCCTGTTGTAGTTTACCTGGCGGCTCGCACTGCGTAACAATAAGCCCCCACTTCCCGTGCTCTTCTGAATAGTGATTAGACAGAGAAGTAATTTTAAAGTTAAAAAACTAAACTTTAGAAGTGATCCTCCCCACCCTATAACACTCTAGGAAATGGAATTGCAACATTCGTCTCTTCCAGAAAAAAATGTTTAAAAAGTCTTTGTATGAAATGACTTTGGTACGTGATCGGTGTGGCGGGAGGTCACGTGTCATGAACTCAGGTGCAAGGAGCTGGAAACGGTCTTTATGGGAGGGGAGCCCCCAGGGCTTCCGGGTGTGCATCGCCCCTAAAATAACGGCTCCCGCAGTGACCTGCACGCGGCCTGGCTGCTGGCCTCGTTGTTAAGTGAAACACCACACAGGTTATAACGTCCATACCAAAGCAAACAAGAAAGCACATGTGTTGGAGGGGGACAAATGAATTTAAATACCGACTCTACCCCGGGCATGGGAATCTCAGAATGCTGTTTGGTCATTTCAGTGAGAGGCCCACACGTTTGGTCAAGAACACCCACGTCCGGGGCAGCCAGGGGCAGAGGCGGACAGTGAGCGTGAGCTGTAAACAGCGTGCGCTCCTGCCCGACCAGCGGAATGCGCCCGGTCAGAGCTCACACCGTTACATGTGTCTCTGCCTCTGAGTGGAGTGCCAGCCTTAATGAAATACACATCTACAGGTAACAGTCTGTCACTCAAAGTACCAGCTGACGTGGCGGTTGACTGTCTTTGTGTGTCTAGACCACGTCAAGGGCGGCTCGGGGGCTGTCACGGGCGGTCCCCGACCCCCTCTGCCTGACAAGCAAGCCCCACCTATGACAAGGTGCAGTCTTCTTTGCTTTTGTCCTTCTCACTCTGGCCCCCCGCCTCTTCTCTGGGTGCCACCCCGTCACTTTCTGGACTAAGGCTCTCGGAAGCCTCCCTGACGCCCTGATTCTCACCGTTGACAACCCCGGAGGGACGCTGGCCTCCAGGCAGGGTGCTGTGGGGCACACCCTCGTCCCCAGGGGGCCAGCATGGAGCGGCGCCGTCGCCGTTCGTTCCTCCTCCTTCCTCTGACCCTCCTGCACCTGCTCGGGAGCCCGAGGCCCGAACGGCGTCGCCGTCCGGCTGTGCTGGCTCTCCGTCGGTGCCTGCTCTCCCCAGCTCCGCGTCTGTATCGCCACCCCCTGGGTTACGTTTCCCATCCACCTCCACGGCAGCACTTTCCAGAACGTCCAGGTTCTTGCTGCTCCCCGCCACCGAGTTCGAGTTCCGTCTGGGACCAGCAGGGGCCTCTTCTGGCGTCCCCACCCCTGGTCTCTCGTCAGCGAATCTCTCCGGCTCTTCCTCCTTAACCTCGCTCAGGCCTGGGCCCTGGGGCGGTAACTCTTCCTTAGCATCCTTACTGGTCTCTGCTGGTCCCGCTGACTTCCTCTTCTTGTTTTTCTTCTTCTTGTTCTTTGTCTTCTTCTGAGGGGAATCCAGTCCCTCTCCCTGCAGGTCATTGCTGTCCTCGCCGGGCTCTTTCGCATCTAGGGGTTTGCCCTTGGCATCTGCTGTGCGTGGGCCTGTTGCTTCCTGCACATGGTGCGTGGCCACCACAGAAGAGGGGCCGGTCTGGACTTCAGTCTGGGTGGGTCTCTCATTCGTGACCCCGGCCCCCTCCGCCTCTCCTTCCTCCCCGCACACCCCCGGTGCGGGGCTCTGCGCTGGGGCTGCCCCGGGCTCTGCTGCCTCCTGGTTGGTGAGCTCTGTCTCTGAACCACAGCCCACACTGGCACCCACCTCTCTGGGGACGTCTGCCACACTTCTGTCATCCTGACTCCCGGTGTCAACACCACCCCTGGGAGGCCTGGAGGCCACCGTGCCCTCTGGCCCCCCCGACCCGGTCGGTCCTGCCTGCGCTGAGCTCTGGGAGCCGCTCGCCTGATCAACCTCGGAGATTTGCGAGGGAGCAGATTCCTGGTGTGGTTCTGGGCTAGCCTCTCCCAAACTGGTTCCACAACCTTGCTTTTCTCGTTCCTGCGTTTCTGCGGATTCTCTACTTTGGTTTAGGGGATCCGAGGCACCCCCGCCGCCTCGCTCTGCCTCGGGACCCAGCAGGTCGCCATCTAGTTCCCTCAAACACTCCGAAGCCCCGGCCCCAGCATCCGGGGCGCTTGTGACCTCACTGGACACACCCCGTTCTGCGTGTTCAAGGACGGACATGTTTGCTAGAACTTGGCTTTGAACCTGGTCCTCGTCTGTGGCATTTGCTACTGTTGCTAGGGAGAGGGCACTGTCGTCAGAGGGTCTCTGGTCCTCGGCGCGGCCCCCAGGAGGTAAGACCTCCGTGTCCGCACCGTCCTCTACGGGGTCCTCCCGGTGCTGCTCTCGCCCAGCGCTCTGCGAGATCTCTCTGTGCCCCACACTGTCCACAGTTTTCACCTCCACTTCAGTGGCTTTTCCTAAAAGACCATTGAGAAAATGGAAGGGACCCCGTGATGTGGTGACCACTTCAAACACACATTGCAATGTAAACACACATTCTCCTTCCCACCCGGCCCTGCTCCCAGAGAGAGAGAGAGAGAGAGAGAGACAGTGAGTTGGCAGAAAGTCCCCAGGACGAGGCCTCTGCCACCACCTCAAGGCAGGTGGCTGCTAGCACCGTCCCATGCTCAGTTAGGCTGTGACCAGCAGCATGAGCCCTGGGCCAGGCCGCCGGACCCTCCAGAAGGCAGCCCCCATTCTCACTCCCAAACGCGCATCCGGACCACTCGCACGCTGCCGGCTGCCCATCACACAGCCCCGAGGGCAGCTTCCGAACTGCGTCGGGAAACTCGGCCTCCTGGTCAGTCTCAGGGACTACACTTCTGCAATAACTTTGTACCAGGTCCAAAGAGGCCCGCCCTCCACTGACACTGTCCCCAGGGGGTGGCCTGCGCCCTGAATACCTCCGCTCCAGCCCCACTGGAACAGAACAGGGCGTCCCAGTGGGAGGCAAACGCTGGAATCCAGATGACCTCATACCTGAACAAACACCGGGTGACTCAGCAGGTGACCAATCATGAACGACCAGACCCGTCACTGCCTTGGAATGAAGTTGCAGTTTGGGTTCCTCCCCACAACAGAGCCGCAGCTCGGGGGGCACCCAGACCACTGCAGGGCAAAGGCTGGTAACACCAGGACCCGGGGGTCGGCCCAGGGGGCGCACTTACCGCAGGGCAAGCAAGGGAGGTTAATTTTGCTTCGCCCTTTAAAAACGTCTGAGTGCCTGTTATGTAATGCACATTTTATATTATTACAATGTTACATAAACAAGAAATGAATACACGGCCCTGGCTGGTGCGGCTCAGAGGATTGAGTGTGGGCCCAGGAACCATAGGGTCGCCGGTTTGATTCCCAGTCAGGGCACACACCTGAGTTGTGGGCCAGGTCCCCAGTAGGGGGCGCACAGGAGGCAACCACACACTGATGCTTCTCCCCCTCTCTCCCTCCTTTTCTCTCTGTTTAGAAATAAGTAAAATCTTTTAAAAAACATAAAAAAAAATAAATATAAATACTGGGAACCCCCCTATATGGAAGCCACCTACAAAACTGACATTTCTGGTGCTTCAGCTGTCTGTCCGACGACTACCGAAGACTCACACAGCGCGTCTGCACCGGCGTCGGCCACGTGAATGCCGGCTGCTGGGCCGCTGACACACGGGTGTGAGGGCGGGCAGCCGTCTGTCGGCAGTACTCAGGCCGCAGACAGAGCTATGCTGCTCTAGGGAGGGGCCTGCGAAGCGAGCCCTGGGGTCTCGAGTTTCCATAAAGAGTGAGAAGCGAGGTGGGCTGCCTCCCGGTAAAGCCGGGGCTCGCTGGCGGCCAGTGGCCCGGAGGCCTCGGCTGCGGTGGCCGCATCAGGCTGCCCAGCAGGCAGGTTTGGGAGGCCCTTCCCCATGCCAAGCACGATGACAAGCAATGGCTGGCGGGTCTTTCTGACACTCCCACCGTCCACTGGAACCCCCGTGCGTGTCCCTTCAGAAGCAAAGACGTGACTAGAGAGCCGTCATCATCGCCAGAGGGGCGGGCACACTCAGACTCGCACGCTGCCCGCACTGACTCCCGGGGTCTGCCTGCGCCCGCCGCCCAGGGCCGTGTGCCCCCTCGAGAGCTCCCTGGAGGAGGCCCCCCGCGGCATCCCGTGTCCCGGCCTCCACCCGCTGTCCTGAAGCAGCTTGTGCCCGCGGAGCGCCGGCAGGAGGCGTCATGTCGGCCTGTAAACGTGGTCAGCCACCCGAACTCACAGTCTCCCCTACTCTGACTTGCAACAGCTCTGTAACGGCGTGAAAAAGCCACACTCGGCACATATCTGGGGAGAGCCAAACAGCACTGCCAAAACTGTCACCCGACCTGGAGGCAATTTTCTGGCACCCACAGCCTCACTCGGCACCCGCAGCATCCGTGGGGAGCCCTGACAAGAGGCAGGCCAGACGGCACGCGTGGGCGGGCGCCTCGTGGGGCGGGGCGAGTCCGTGACGAGACAGAGCGCAGGGCATGCTGTGCGGCTGTTAATGGCCAGTGAGGATGAGTTGGACTCTGACAGTGCATGGGAGGTGACTCGGTGCTGGCCGGACGGTGACAGGATCCGGGGGAAAACACACTTACCTAGGGGCCCGTCCCCAGCTGCCTGGAGGGCGTTCGGCTCTTCCCCTGTCGTCCTGGTGGGACCTTGGTGTCTAGGGCTCGTCAGAGTGTCTGGCGTCTCCCCATTGGCAGCCACTTCCGAATTCAGGATGATCCCATGTTTCTGGGGACAAAAACAGGCTCGTGGTGACACTCGCCGAGTGATGCTAGGTTAAACTCTCTTATTAATAATGATGTCAAGGGAAGCCGTTTTCCCTGGAGCAGAGGAAAACCGGGCAGTGTCGAGAAGAGTGAGGGTCTGCCAACACCCACACACCGGGGGCACGTCCTGCAAAGGACCGTCCCTCCTGGGGTCCCCACTCCGTCCTCATGTGCTGGCGACCAGGCACTTTTGGCGGGGACCCTGGGGACTGGGACTGAGGCTGCAGGCGCCAGGACGGGAGGCCTCGAGCACGTCTGGGGAGGTGACGCTGGCTTTGCAGAGGAGAGGTACAGAGGAAAAGAAAGGACTGAGTGTTCTGACAGGTGGGGTGGAGAGAAGGGGTTGGGGTGTCTGGGACATTCTCCCTCACAGCTGCACCTCATGACTCCAGGGCCCCCCGACCATGGACGGCTCCCTCTCTTGTGCTGGGAGGAAGCCCCAAACCCGCACTCGCAGCCCTGGGGGAAAGTCTGTGGAGCTCGGCCCTGAGCCTTCTCCCTCACCACTCTGGCCTTGACCCCTGCCAATAAGCAGCCACACGGATACGTCTGCTGACTACATAGGACGTATCTGCCCATGGCCATCTGCCTCAACCCACCCCCTCCGGGGCACACAGCCACCCAGAGCTCTGACCCCCTCGGCTGGGCGCTGGGTGTCTTTACTCGGTGCCCAGACAGCAGCCGGACCCGGCCCAGACAGAACGCGACTGTCCCACAATCCCGTGGGTCTCCCAGGGTGACTGGCAGGAGCTGCCCCCACCCTGTGTGGCGGGAGAAGCCCTCGCAGCCGAGCCTGTCACAGAAGAGACGCTCTTTAACTCCGAGTCGGGTTCGGGGCGTTTACTGATGAGGACGGAAAACACTGGGACAACGCGTCCAAACCCTCGGAAATCAGAGTTGCTCTCGAGCTCCATGGGCCTCTGAACGTCCGAAGGTCACGGGCAGACCCCACGGAGCCCAGCTCACTCTCCAGGTCTCCCAGGTGTCACTTCACCCCAGGTTCGCCTTTCTCAACAGAACCGTGGTCAGACACTCGGCCCCAGCGTCCCAGGGCGCGCTGTCGCCACCGGGACGCCCCCTCTTGGGCGTCCGCGGGCCCTACCTTCAGCGCCTCTTTCAGCAGGCCTACTTCTTCTCTGAGGTCCTCTCGCTCACTCCTGATGGAGTCAAAGAACTCCTTCTGCCTCTCTAAGGCCTGAGCGTGCGGCCGAGCAAGGAGAGAGAGAGGCGCACAGGTCAGCAGGTGGCTTCGGAAGCGGACTAAGGGGGCGGCGAGTACTGGGTGAAAGGCCATCAGTCTGGGCGTTAGACAGCATGCACTCAAAGACACCAGCGAGATGCAAGCGGCAAACTCTCCTTTAGCTGAGAAACGCGGCTGCCATGCTCCCCAAACAAAAGACCGGAGCCCCCGAAGGCACTGGGAGGGTTTCAGCCGCATCCTGCTCTGGCTCATTCTGGGTTTCACAGCCCCGTTAGCAAGTCGACAGGGGCCACGCCCCCACCCCCATCTGAATGCGGGGCACGTACAGAGTAGGGAGCAAGACAGAGGAGCCCCGGGGACGAGCATTTGGGCTGCTTTCCTACGCGCCTTCCCGGAGGCGGCTGGCGCAGGTGAACAGGAAGGGCCCTAAAGCAAACACGCATGCACATGCACAGGCCCCGTGTGAGTGTGTGAGCACATGGGAGAGGGGACGAGGGCAGCGTCACGGCGACGTGGTGTGCTGGGTCCGCACATTTCAGAAGCCAGTGTCAGGAAGCATGGCCGTGACTGTGAGGGGTCCCTTTCTTCCCCCTCCTCACCCCTATAGGCAGGTGGGTGGGAGGGAGGGGGTCTGAGGACCCTCTGGGGAGACTGCAAGCTGGGGTGACGTGGAGCACGGCCCTTGCCGCCTTGTAGCTTCCTGGAACCCCTTGAGAAAAGGCCCAGGCAGGATGGGCAGGGAAACCAACACATCGGAGCTGCCCGAGGGCCTCCCTTGTTGAGGGGAGGGTCTCTGTGAGCCCCAGGCAGCTCACAGGGCATCGGAGAGCCTGGCTCTCCTGGCCTCAGGGGGTTCTCCACGCTGGACACCAGCTTCCCATCGAGTCGCCATCACCTTGGGAAGCCTGCACGGTTGAGTCTGCACGGGTGAGCGCTGCATGCACGCCCGTCCAAGCAAACCAGGGCCTCTGCAAGCCACATGCCGGCTACGCCCACCCGGACAGACTCTCGGACTCGTGAGTCCTACCCCTATCTTTCTGTCCTTCCACTCTATCGTTTCCTGGAGGTCAGAGATCTCCCTGACATAGCTGGCCTGTTTCTGCTGCAGCTGCCGGATTTCCTGAAGAACAGGGACAGGTGGAAAGAGAGCAGAGAAGGGTTAGGCAGGAAGGAGTCCCGGTGCTGACCATGCAGGCCGGCCGAGGGGTGTCCTCCGGCCGGCAGGCCTGGGGAGGCGGCAGCACCACCTCTCACGCTCCAGAGCTCATCCTCGCAGCTGGCCTTCTCCGGTCCTGCTCCCCGCCCCAGAAGGCCAGGAGGAACCCCACTGGGTGAAATGCTTACTGAGAGGCACTCAAGTTCGGATCAAGTTAAAAAGGTTAAAAACCCCGGGGCCCTGGCCGGGTGGCTCAGGCAGTTGGAGCACCATCCTGTCCACCAAAAGGCTGCGGCAGGTTCGGTCCCTGGTCCCCAGTCCCTGGTCGGGGCATGTAAGGGAAGCAACTGATCGATGTTTCTCTCTTCCTCCCTCCCGACACCCTAAAATCAATAAGCATATCCTTGGGCGAGGATTAAAAAAATTAAAAAGGGAAAAACAACCCTGTACGTTTCCTGTTGCCACTGAAACAAACCAGTGAGATTTCGGTGGCCCCGAAAACCGCTGATGTGTTCTCCTGGTGCTGGAGCTCAGGGGTCCCCAGTGGGCCTTGCGGACGAAGGTCAAGGTGTGGGCTGGCCTGGGGGCTTTCCCAGGAGCCCAGCAGAGCACGCTCTGGTAGCTTCTAGAGGCTCCCGATTCCCTGGCTCAGGGCCCCTCCTCTGGCCCCTCTGATATCTGCTTCCGTTGTCACATCCCTTCTCCTGCCTGTGACTTTCTGCCTCCCGTGGAAGGACTCTGTGGCACACGGGACCCACCCAGAAAACCCAGGACAATCTCCCATCACAAGGACCCTTTTACCATGGAAGGTCACACGGAGAATTAGCCTAGGCCCCCAATTTTCCAGAAAACCCGTGACTCTAGTAACGAACCAGCCGGATGCTCCTAAGTCTCACACACACACACGCACACGGAGACGTGGGACTGGCCACCCACCTGGAGCAGCTCCTCTCTCTGCTGCAGGGCGGCCTTCATCTCCGCCAGCTGAAAGCGCAGCAGCCCGTGGGCGTGTTTCTCCCGCTCGAACTCCTGTGAGGAGGCACAGAGCAGAGTGAGGTGTGTTGCTCTCTGCCTCGGAACGAATGACCTGCGACCTCGCCAGCACGGCGTCCCAGGCCCTTAGGACGCCACGAACATGTTTCTCCGGGCTTTCTAGAAGACGCCCTGTGGTTCACCAGTCAGGGGAGCTGCAGGAGCCTGGGGCAGTGCCCCGCTCCTCTCTGGTAGGCGACACCCCAGAGAGGGCCCCCGTCAGGGTGTCTGCTGTGCTGATGGCCCGAGCAGGGGGCAGCTTTGTGAAGGACTTAGGCTAAAATCATCCCCAATTTTGAAATATGACAAGGAATACTCTTTGGGATAAAGGGGGCTAAATGTGTCTACTTTGGCCAGCCTGTCTCCTTAACAGCGGCTGGGCCAACACTGTCCTCCAGGGACAAAGGTGGGGGCAGCGTCGGACCCTCTCCTCTGGGAGACTTGCCCTGGAGACCTGGCAGTGCGGGTCTCTGGCCCCCCGCCCAGCCCCGCCCAGCAGCCCGTCCCCAGTCATGGTCTGGTGCCTAACTGACTGCCAGCAGCTCAGGGCCGGCTTCCCCGGGCCTGGGAGCCGGGTTATCTCAGGGGTCAGACCTTCGCTTCTGCTCACCCACGTGCGGAGTCTGGGGTCAGACTCCAAAGCCGGGTCACCCCCTAGCTGGGTCAAGGGTGTGTCAGCCGGGCTTTTCTTGGCCCACAGTCTCCTCCTTGGGAGGACGTTTCAGGATGACCCAACCTCCGTGGAATTAGGTCAGAGGGTCCCTGGTCCTCCTGACGCCTGAATGAGGCTACCTGAGGAGTATCAAGGACCCTGAACAGCCCCCTCTTCTCAGAGATGGGATCAGAACAGCGTTCAGCTCCTTCATTCATCCCAATGGGACCTGGGGTCTGGAGAGAGGTTTCTCCTCCTTTCCCTCCGGAGTTCCACTGTCAGGGGCCTTCCCAGTGGCATCTGACAACTCCACAGCAACTGGGGTGGGGCTTGGAGTTGGCTCCGCCCCTGGGGTTGACAGCATGGAGCCAGGTTTTTCGTTTTTTTCAAGATAATGACATGCATTAATGAAATAAATGTTCTGTTTATCTCAGCAAATTTGGAAAAGTGGACGTTATAGGGTCCGATTAACCAACTAATTCCCAAAACGTGAAAGTCAAGGACCCCTTGTTCTATGAGCCATGAAGACTGTGGGTCACCAGGCCAGTCTGCTGAAATCAACCCGAGCGTGTGCCCGTGCCGTGCGCCGATGACGCCAATCTCATTAATTCCGGCGCTTTGGAACTGGAGCCCGAGTAAGACACCACCCCTCTCTGGGCTGAAGGGAAATACTTAGTTCTTCAACGCAGTAAGTGGGCATTCCCCAATCAGCAGAAAATAAACCCATATAATTTCCTTAAAATCCTGGATATGTGCAGCAGGCTGTTGTCTATGGCATTAAGGGATGAGAAAATAAAAACCTGGGAATGCACAGGAAGACCCTGAGGCAGCCGAGCACGCCGCCTCTGTCCCGGGCAGGTTTCCCTGGGTCCGACCTCGCCCCGCGTGCCCTGCACACGTGTTCCCCCAGTCACAGCACCTCTAGTTACTACGAAAACCTGCCCAGCAGTAACGAAGTCCCTCCGCAAGGGGCACAGCATGCTCCCCAGGGCTCTGGGCCCCCTGGACAAGTGGAGAATCGTTGTTAAACACACACACACACACACACACACGCACTGAAAACTAAAATAATTATTTAAAAAAACGCTGATAAGTTCACGGGACCTGGAAAACACACACACACACACAAGCCGTCTCTTTGCGTTCGTGTGCACTGTCTCCCGCCCTCCGCGCGGCGAGGCTCACTTTGCTCTTCTCCTCGTACTGCCGCCGACACTCGGCCAGCTGCTCCTCCAGCCCCAGCAGCGTGTCCTTCAGGGTGTCCACCTGGTACATGTAGTTCGTCTTCTCGTTGTCCAGCTGGGCGTTGGAAACCATGGCTTTCTTATACTTCTCCTCGACCTCCGCCAAGGAGTCCTGCGGGAATCAGGCCGCAGTTGTGAAGTCACATAAGAAAACACAAACTAAGATTAGTTTGGCATTCTTTTTTTAAAATTTGATTTGAGACAGAGAGGGGGGAAGGCGGGGGGTGGCCCCAGAGACAGGGAGGGAGAAACATCCTTTTGTTGCTCATCGAAGCATCATCAGTTGACTCTCCTGTGCCCGGACTGGGGACTGAACCGCGACCTTGGTGTACTGGGCTCTAACCCACTGAGTTATTCTTGTTTGGTACAAATTTTATTTACTTAGTTCTTTTCAGAGAGAGGGAAAGGGAGGGAGAACGAAGGAGAGAAACATGGATGTGTAAGAGAAACATTGATCAGCTGCCTCTTTCACACCCCTAACTGGGGACCCGGCTTACAGCCCAGGCATGTGTCCTGACTGGGAATCGAACCAGCGACCTTTTGGTTCATAGGCTGGTGCTCCATCCAGTGAGTCACACCAGCCAGAGCTAGTTCAGTATTCTTAAAAACAAAAAACTCAGCCCTAAATTTAGACTTTATTTCTTCGAGTAAATGAATCAAAATAGAATTCACAGCAATTTCAAAAGTGAAGAAATTTCTCCTTTTCAATTTGACCGAATTCTCCTCACTCAGAAAACTGGTTACTCACTGTGCTGAGGGACAAGAATAACCAACAGCCACCAGGATGAGGGACATGCCTGGTGGGAAGGGTTCTGGTCACGAGCAGTCCAGGCCCGACCCCATGACTCCGGGGTGCAGTGGGCCGGGCTGCTCAGCAGGTTTCCGAAGTGACCCCCGACACGTGGCCAGACAGGGCTCGGAGCCCGCGGGACGGCGGGGGGCACCGGGCCACTGCAGCGGGCCGCCAGGCCCGGGCTCACCACCCAGGCAAGGGGTAGGAGGAGCTTCAGTCAACCCCCCGGGAGAACCACACAAGGTGCACAGGCCGCAGTGGGCGGGCCCTGGAAAGGCCGCAGCCGTCCCTCCAAAGGGACAGCCCAGGGACAGGGGCCGGCAGAGTCCAGGTGGCCCTGCCTGGCCCACGCCCCTGCGGGTCAGGCCACAGAGAGAGCACAGCGGCCTTCTGGTCCCAAAACAGAGATTGGGGAAGCAACTCTGGAAGAGAGAGCAGAGGTCCCCGGATGCAAACCACCCACAGCTAAAGAAGGGCGGGTGGGGCCGGCCGGGTGTCGTGGGGGCCACGGGCAGGCTTCCCCGGGCTGGCGCTGGTCCTGCCTGCACTTGCGAGCGAGGCACTGACTCTGGGGGGTCGGGGGTGCGTGACTGCCGCCTGCCCCACTGGGTCCCGTCTCCTGTGGGTTAAAAGCCAGCACTCATTTCTCCCTTTTTAAAGAGCTGATGACGATGACATTGACGAGCCATGTGATCTTTCCTCCGCTTTGGTGCCCCCGGATAGAAACTCAGACTATCTGGGGGGCACTTTCCGGGGAGCTAGGCTACAGCTGTGGTCTGCCACCACTGCCCCGTGAAGACAAGAGTGTGGCCTGACCATCTGCCTCGCCGCCGAGGAATGGCGATCGATGTCCCGGCTGGTACAGGGCAGCTTCCGCCTCCGAAGGGCGGTGTGTGTTCACTCAGACACACCCAAGACAGTGCTCATTCAGACAGCACTGCGGTTAGTCCCATGTCAAACATGCACCCGACTCGGTGTCCCAAAGCACAGCCACGCGGGCTGTGCCACTGCAGATGGCAGGTGCTTGGGGACACACGGTGTGAGGCGCACACAGTGCGGCTGCTGTGGGAAGCCGAGGAAGCCGAACACCCTTCTCGAGTGTTCGGGAGGCTGCGTGAGGACGAGACGTGCACCGGGAATCACGCCAGGGACTTTTTCTTGGTTCGAAGGCTGCACGGGGGTACGCTGCATGCGCACCCCACGCTAGCTCTCCCACCACGCGGGGCCCGGGGTGTCTGTGGGGTTAGCGTGCATGCTGAGCCCCCCGCCCTTTGGGGTGTTTTCCCGGTCAGCTGGGTTAGCAGGGCGAGCCCACACTCTGCACACGGCACCTTCATCTCCTTCAGCCCCTGCATGTATTTGCCTTCCACGTCCTGAATCTGGTCCTTGAGCTCATGGAGTTCCTGGGGGAGATGGCGAGACAGGCGAGTGACGTCAGGGGACGGACGGGCCCCGCAGGACAGGGGCAGGGCTCAGGCCGTCCTGCTCCCGGCCGCCCTCAATAGTCGGAGCAGTGGCTGCCCCTGGCTTCCGTGAAGTGTCAGGAAAAAACCAAATTTCCATGTTACCGAGATTAAAAGTTGGTGTATCTCATGATATTTTCACATGATTTCTGTAAAACTGAGGTCTTTCCTGCACGATATTTTGGCAGTTTTATAAAGCAGACCAAAGAGCTTCTGGAAACGGAACAAGAAACATCGCTCCTGGTGGGAGGCTCTCTGGCTCCCGGAGTCCCTACGCCGTGCTGGCACGGTGCGACGGGGAGGAGAGAGGCGTCACGGGGCTGCGCCCGGCCTCGCTCTGCCCGTCCCAGCACTGCCGCACCCCTGGTGCCCGAACGGTGCTCGGTGCTCGCAGCCATGGAGCCGTGGTGAGTCTGGGCTGTGGCGGACTCGGCCTCGCTGGAGCGAAGGCATGAGCAGAGCTTCGGGAATGGCTCGTGGGACCGTTTAGGGACAATGGCCAAAACACGCTCTCACAGAGCACAGGCGTCGGAGGCCGCCCCCGTGGGAGCCTGGACGCCCCGCCAACACCGAAACCTCCTCTCCTGCCTCCCCGACCAACGGGCTCACGGCGAAGGCTCCTCCTCCAATGGTTTGAATCTCAGAAAGCACTTCTGCAAATGAAGCCACGTCTGAGCCCGAGGCGCCTCCCTCTCTCCGGGGGGCACGTGCTCTAGAGCCCGGACCTCCCTCCCCTGCGCGCGGCCTCCTCCTCCACTTCAACGAACGGCGCTGCTCTCGGCTCTCGGGCCGGGGTGTCGGAGATGTGACAGAACACGTCCACATTGCAGAGGGGGAAGAAAGAAACATGGAAACCCACGGCGACGAGGGTCCAGGAGGGTGGACGGTGAAGACAAGGAACGGACGGAGGGGTGCAGAGGGCAGGCGGCAGAGTGGCCCGGGGCCTTCATGTGGTTTGGCGAGTGTGGACACAGGTGGGCCCCAGAGCCGAGGGGGCCCTGCTGGGTGGGCAGTCAGGGACGGCGTCCTGGGGGAGGCTGCACCTGAGCCGAGCCTTGGTGTCACCAGAACACCTGCTCCTGGGATGCAGCGGGGACAGGAGTGAGAGGAAAGATCTGGGTAGTTGGGAATGACACCTTCTTCCCTCGAACACAGACTGTCATAAAGGGTCCCACGTGGGCAGGGTGTGTTACCTTGATCTCCCTCATGGACGCCTCGGTGTCCACGGAGACGGAGGTGTCCCCGCTTCCCCTCCGAGCGGAGGTGCCGCCCAGCGAGGCCAGGGTGGCTGCAGACAGGCCGGGCAGGTTGCGGGGCCCCTAGGGCAAGGCAAGGACCAAACTCGGTTTCAGACAAAACCCACGTGACCTGCACGTCTGCTCCCACGCCACCTTCACCTGAATCTGCCTTCCCACTGGGAACGTCTTCCGTGAGCTTGTGGAGAGCAATACAGAGGGGGCCGCACTTGGGGGCTGCACCTGGGGGCCAAGCAGGCTGGCTGGGGAGCCCGTCTGAACTCCCCTCAAGCTCCACGTTGGGCCAGGGTCAACCCTTTCCTTGTTCTGGGGGCTTAACACACAGTGGAAGTGACCCCCGGGGACCCTCCCCAAGGTCGTGACACTGGCTGGTGGGCCACACACTGGTCCTGCTCACTCACCGGTGAAGAACTTTATCAAGGACCAAGCAACATAATCTCCTGTCAGTTTTACCCCTAAGTGCCGGGACCCACCAAGTTCACCAATGACGTGACAGGAAGGCCGGCAGAAATTCCTCACCTTCTCAGTGAAGTCTTTTTCTGGTCTCTCTTCAACCTGCAGAGGAAAGTGCACAAATGTCACACATAAGCACTAAATGGATCTCCGGACGCAGGGGGAAAGTGACAATGAAATAGTACAAGAGCATCCTTTGCGATTTAAAAGACCTGCTTTGCCGGAGACATGGCCGCACACCTCTGCCGGGAGGTGTGAGCCAGGCCCGTAGCTACTCAGAGAGCCGGGCTGAGGGTCCCGTGCGGCTTCCTGGCCCCCAGGCTTCCCCAGATGTGATGATGTCGGAACTACACAGGCAGAGAAAGGCCCGAGATGGGGACGTGTCCATGAGCTCATGCACAGAGTCCGGCGTCACAGATCCCTGCCACTGTGCATACAGGCCCGTCCCCGTTGGCGGGGACGGCACACTCCTGCTCGCCTGCGCTCTGCAGGACCCATCAGAGAGCCAGGACCCCACGGGGCCTGGGGGCGGCAGGTGCAACCGCAGGAGTTTTAATTTCGACTCTCCCTGAACTTGGCCTGGGAAGCAAGAGAGAGCAGTGAGCCGGTTGTAACCTTCTCTGCTTTTCATGAGTGACCGAGTCGTGGGAGACTCCGGTTTAAAGGTCTTGGGAAGGGTGCCAGGCGTGGGAGGCTGGCTGGGGGTGGGGGCGGCAGCCGAAGGTACAGGAGAGTTTGCTGGGAGAAAAGTGGGACCCCGACAATTTGGCTTTTCTCATCTGACGCCTGGCATCTCCCTTCAGCAGGTGGGGGCCTCGGGGTGGGGGGACCCACAGCAGCCACAACGCAGCGTGACCCTGACCCCGGGACACCCTGTGCCGTGAGGGGATCTCGGGAAGGGGCCTTGCTGGCCAGGGTGCTACTTCTTTCCTTTCCTGCTCTGGCCCCTGGAGGGCTCCTCTCCACAGCCCGTCGGGAGGGTCCCAGAGGACGGTAGCACCCTGCGCTCCGCTCTCTCCACGCTCTCCCGGCAAAGCCGTTGCTGTCATGCTTGTCCTCATGCTTCCGACCTGCCTCCTGTGGCTCAGCGGTCCTTCCACGGGTGCACTGGCCAGGGCAGAGCACACCTGAGTCAGCCAGCTCATCGGTGGTGACCTGGGACTCGCAGCCAGCCCTGCATGTTGCCCCACAGCCGGTGCACACTGCAGCCTGGGAAACCCTGGCAGAGCAGCTGGTGACCCCTGCACTGTGCGGTGACGTCATCCACGGGGCAGCAGATGGGTACAGGGGCTGAGCCCTGGTCGGCACGGCCAGGTGGTGATGTCCCATAAAGAAGACTGCCCTGGGCCCACGTGTGTGAGGCTGGAGGCCCTCACCGTCCTGTCCCCACAAGGAGGCTCATTGCCACCTTCTCTTCTCTAAACTTGCACTTCAACTTTCTCTCCCAGGGGACTATGAAATGACGCAGTGAAGTGTGACAGCTAATCAGCCAACTGAAGGGATCCCGGAATCGGACAATATACTCCATTTCTCCGAAAGGAGGCGATCCCAGACCAGCTCTCCGCTCAGGACAACTGGGTTCAAGCCCAATCCAGGCTCCGGCTGCCAAAGCACCTGGTCTCGTCCACCCGACCACAGTGGGGCCTTCAGAGAACTCTCTGCTCTCCTCTGACAGTCCCCTTAGTGTCCCAAGAGCAGGAGAGCAGATGAGACCATGCCCCTCAGGGCCAGGGGGCTGCACCCGAGGGCGGGCCGGCCCCACCCCCATGTTAGCCCCTGGGTGGTCCCTCAGCCCACGTGCCCACCGCTCGCTGTCCTCCCGGGACCGGAGCAGGCCTGTGAGTCCCCGGGGCGGTGCGGCTGAGCGCCACACTGCCCCCGTGTAAAAGTGCACACCCGGAATCACCGTTCTCTCAGCTGTGCACACCACATCCACGCGACCTGATATTCTGGGGCGTCCAGATGGTCCTCTCTTGCCGCCCCGCACCCCTGCTCTGAGCCGTGGTGATTTTAGCCCTCGGGTGCAGGCCTTCTCTTGACTTGGGAGCAAAAACACTCCTGAGAATTTCAAATAACTAAGGAAAAGCTGACTGCCTGGCGCCGGGTCTGCCGGAAATGAACTCATCAAACCTCCTGGGCTTATGGTCTTCATCCCCCCAAACGGCTGTCGGCGAGATGAAAATAAAGAGGGTCCTTTCACTCTCTGTGGAAGGAAAAGGCCCTGTTCACAGGCCCTCGATCCAGCCCCCGCGCGGAGCCTGCTGCGCCTTGCGTCCTGGTTCAAAGGGCAGCTTTCCTGCCTGGCCATCAGCAACGGGGACATGCAGCTCCAGAAGTCCCGTGTCCACCCACACAGACACCCGTCCCTCTACAGGGACCCCACATTTTGGTCAGCTTTTCTTGCGAGGAAGGTGAGAAAGAACACGCCCCAGAGCCGAGTGTGGGTCTCGTGTGGCTTTAACACTCTTGTCTCCGCGTCCTCTCGCTCGCCCCACTCAGATCGCTCCTGTAATTCTCGAGTAAGGAAGGAGGAAAACCCAGACCGTAGGTCACCCTTTAATCTGAAAGCGAGTTGTAAAAGCCCCGTCTGGGTGGCTCGGTTGGTTGGAGCGTCATCCAGCCACCGAAAGGAGGCAGGTTCAATCCCTGGCTGCGGTGCATACAAGAGGCGACTGATTGATGATGTTTCTCTCCCTCTCTCCCCTTCCTCTCTTTCCAAAAAATCAATAAACACATCCTTAGGTGAGGATTAAAACAAGTTTAAAACCCAGTTTTTAAGGGGCCTTTGCTTCACATGCACAATGGACTCAGACCGTGAAGAGTAAGGACGTGTCTTTAAGGAGAGACCACGCAGGAAAAGCCAAGTCTCCACAGAAGTGAGAGCCAATCTGGGCTTATCGGTCACTATTCCACACGCGGGAGTGAGTGTGCTCTGTCTGAATCACAAGGGACAGGTGTGTCCACCCACCTCCGGAAGACACAAGCCCCTGGAGCCCCTGGGAAGAGGACCCAGTGCCCTGAAGCCGCTGCAGTGGCCTGGGCTCCCACTAGATGGCAGTGTGTCCAGCTGTCAGGCACCTGCACCCACTGGAATGAAGCACCCGCTGTCCCCAAAACAAAGGGACAGGTAAGTAACCCAGATGGTGTGTTAACTCTGCTACACGGCACAGCCCTTTACCTCTGAGACTAACACACGATGAAACCAAACGGAAGAGAGCTGTGGCGGCTGCTGCGTGCCGCGGCGTGGGGGCCCCCGTGGTGGGGACCGCACCGGCGTGGGACCCCCATGGCACCGATGGCCTTGAGAGCGAGAAGGCCCCAGAGCCACGCCTCCCGCAGCCTGTTTTCTGAGCGATGACACCGACCCCTAGGTCGGCGCCACGGCCTCGCGGTAACGGGTGGGAAAGGCACGCGGCAGGTTCCAGTCCCCGCTGAGCGCACCCGGGGGCAGCTTCCACAGCTTCTGAGAAGTCATTTCTAAAAATGTCTGTCGAGTTTTCGGTCTTGGCACCTCCTCCTTTTCTAAAACGCACGTTTAAAGGAGCGCGTGGAACGGGTTGTTGACCCCGCCGTCTAACATCCTGTCCGAGAGGCGACTCTGGGCTCGCTTGACCCGGTCTGGTGAGGGGCAACATCCGGGGGTCTCCGCCCCACAGGGCCGCCCAGCACACAGTCTGTGGGCCCGCGACACCCAGCACAGGGGCCAGGTAGACAAGGGCTTTGCCTCAAGGTGTCCCCAGACCCCGGCCGGCAACTCGACCCTGACGGGAAACAGACCACAGAAACAAGGTCACTGCGTCGCCCCTCCCAACTGACAGACGGACCACCGTCAACACTGCTCAGAACACACCCAGTTTAAGGGCTAGTTTCCTTCAAATACCCACAGCAGTGGAGCCTGCCACTGGGGCAGGCGTTTTTGGTTTTAAATCCAATAATATTGACATTACCCTGAGTGGCTTGCCCTTGAACTCTCGTGTCTGTAATTCAGCCCCTGGGTTCAGAGTCCTGACGAGTCACCAGGCCAGGGGTCGGTCCCACGAGCTGCGGCACACGGCCACACCTCCAGCCCTGCCAGTGCCCGAGCCGTGTGTCCTTTTGCCTCTTCAGGGTTCATGACCTGCAGTTTCCAGGTGAAGCTCAGGAAGTTCATGTGCCCGGGCCAGGTGGCCCAAGCAGGAAGGAGAGCCGTGGCCCTGGGCCCAGTGACTCCCTGCTCCTTTCCTGCTCCAGGTCCCTCTGCAAGACCAGGCTGGAAGGGTCACTGGCCCCGTGAGCCATGCCCGGTGCCGCCCACACCTGCTGCCACGCCCTCCTGGGCTGTCCTGGCTCCTTTCCAATCAACAGGGCAAACACACCCGTTGACATTCTCCGCGGCTCTGGCGAGCCCCAGACACCAACACCCACCGCCTTCCCACAGTGCAACCTCCCAGGACCCAGAAAATGGAGAGGGCGGCGGGTTCTGGAACTCGAGGAAGAGAGGGCCAGCTAGCTCTGTCTTCTGGACTTCGCTGCCTCCTGCCCTCGAGAGGGTCAAGTGCCACTGTGCCCACATCCCCTGGGGAGCTGCCCTGCCCAGCTCGGAGGTGCCTCTGTGGTTTAAGGACCACGCACAGGGGTGTCTTCAGCTTTGGAGCCCCCCCTACCTCGGGAGGTGCTTGGATGGGGCCTGGGACAGCCTGTCCCACAGAGTGTGCCGGACGCTAACCTTCGCTCCCTCAACGTGTCAACAACATGACCATCAGTCGACCTTTGTTAAGTGAGCAACAGACTCGGGAGAAACAGGATCGAACTGATTCCTGTCTGTGAGCAACTGCCAATCAGCTTGGTCAGCACCTGTCAGCCCTGGGCACTGAGGGCCCTCGGGAAGGTGGGTGACAAGTCCCCTTGGCTGAGAGCTCAGAGTTAAAGAGAGAGACTGGGAGTTGCCAGGGGCCCAGGGCTCCCCTGCCCACTGCTCCCTTTGTCCCCCTGACTGCACCTGGAGGAAAGCAGCGGCCCCCACCCCGCCCACAGCCCCCCAGGGCGGGGGCTCCGCCTGCTGTTCATCCTCAGGCCCTGGACACCGGACGCATCTGCCGCTCCGCTCTCGGCTCACGGTCTCCCAACTAAACCTGGGTGATGTGAGTGTGCCCGTCGCAAATCCAGAACCTTCTGACGAAGTGGGTGCGCGAGTCCAACCTCTTCAGTCCTGTCCTGTGATCTCATCCCGACTCGAGAACAAACCTCGACACCCAACGCTCCCAGGGTTCACGGTTCCGGCTGCACAGGAGCCAGACAGGGCCCTGCACTCCGGGGCCAGGACTCAGGCAGCCCGGCCACAGCCTGTCCGGCCACCTGCGACTGCACCGTTTGTCCCAGATGACACAGGAGGCAGGATTGTGACCACGGGGGCCTGGGTCGGAGTGTGGTCCCGTGTAGGGTGCGTGTTCCCAGCAGTTCCGAGGGCTCACGGGGGTGAGCTGACCTGTGAAAACTCAGGAAACAGGCTGAGCTGGGAGCTGGTGGGAACTTGAGCCTGCGGATCCTGCCCCTCGGTCATGGACACAGTGTCCACGGGGAGCAGCTTCCCAGATTTTAAAAAGTGAAGTTACATGACACCCAGCAGCTGGGTGTCCCACTCTCCCTGCCGAGAGCGAGGGCCCGGCGTCGCGGGTGAATTCACCATCCAGTGGAGCGTATTCAGGACGAGGCTTCCCCGGCCCCTTCCCGGCTGGTGTCCAGGATGGGGCGGTGGGGGGCGCTGACGGGCAGGCGACTCGTGCACAGCGGCGGTGTCTGCAGCCCACACGGAGGGACCGGGGCTCCCCTGCTCTGATACCGTCCTTTCCACCCACTTTCTGTTTCCTTCCCCCCACTGCACCGTGAACAGGGAAGTGGCGGAGGGGAACATTCCTCCACCATCAGGAACACACCAGCCCGAGCCCAGGCATGACTAGCTCTGGCCTTGGCCTTGGTGTCAGGGATTCAGGGAGGGGGCACCGAAGCTGTGCCCCGGTTCAGCAGCACGTGCTCCGTCTCCAGGGAACCCTCAGTTTGTTTCCCTAGACGCAGCCCCATCTGCATCCGGTAGGAACCCTCGGGGCTTTGAAACACTGTATCTAGTTTAAAGGACAAATGGGTCACCAGCCCCGCCATGGACGGGCGCATCTGTGTGGGTGGAGAGTTCAGCCCCCCAGCTTCTCCCTGGAACACCGGGGGCAGCACCGAAACTCCAGGCAGCTGGCATCTGGCTGGCGTCGGGCCACCAAGACCATGTTCCCACTTCCCCGGGACCAGGTGTGGAGAAAACAGCCCGACGCGGCCCGGCCCTGCTTTCCTGGGCCCAGGGCTCAGCATGGACGCGCCGCCGGCTGGCACGGCCACCCTCCGCCACGCAAGCGCACGCACGCAGCCCCGCTCCTGCCCACTGAATGCCCCCTCCGGTCACCCAGCCCCCCACCCCCAGGTGTCCTCGGGGCAAAACCACCCTGCAGACCCTTCCTGTTTAAAGACCGTGCACAGCCTCCGACGGGGACGAGGAGAGACACCTGGGAGCCTCCACACTCCCAGCGACAGGCGGCTCCAGGGCGAGGGCCGGACTGCTCCTCCTCCCAAGCAGAACAGGGGCACCCCCTGCTTCCTGACCCCCAGAGTGAGCCCCGTGGGCTCACACAGCCAAAGCACCTGAGGCCCTTTGGGCGAGGGCGTGGCTCTCGGCTCAGAGAGGCCCAGGTGCGTTTTCCAAAACACCTGGGCCAACAGCAAAGAATTGCCCATCGATAGGCCGAAAGTCCTTCCCACTTTAAATCACACAAACGACACACCGGGGTGCGTGGCTACACTCCCCTCGCCGTTCAGGGCCCCCTCCTCCCAGGAAGGGCCCCCTCCCAGCACCGGGCAGAGCCTCCTGCGGGGCCCTTCAGCAGCCGGGCAGGGCAATCCCGGCACCACGGGACAGGGCCGTTCCGAACAAGGCAGCACGGCCCCCGTGTTGGTGGTCAGACCTGGCAGGTGATGGAGCAGCCCTGCTACCTTCCCCTGAGTCCCGGCTTGTGGAGGCGGACAGAGGACAGACAGGTGAGGGGAGCAGAGGCAGCAGACGCAGGCTCACTCACCACCGGGCTGGCCCGCGCCGAGCTGGCTCTGGAGGAGGCGCGGGAGCTGGAGCTGAGGTAGCCGCTGTGCTCCGAGGGCTGCCCGCAGGGGCCCGCAGGGCGGCAGGAAGACAGAGACAAAAGGCAGGGTTAGCGGAGGTGCTGGAGGAGGAGACCCCGCCCAGCGCTCCCTCGGCCGAGAGGCCAGCCACAGGCTGCGGAGGACAGAGGGGAGCATGGAGCGCCCGTCTCCCCGGAACGCGAAGGCTGCAAAGCATAGGAGGGCTCATGGACACCCTGGAAGAACACAGAGCGCTGGGTTAGTAGGGGAGAGACACGGAGCACCAACGCGCCGGGCACACAGGAGGCCGACTCCCGGCCCGGCACTCGCCCAGAGAGCAGAACGGGCCCTGGCGTTGGGCGAAGGGGGCGTTTGCTCCTCCTCCACCTCCCCACGTGAAAGCAAAATAAGGGTTGGGGTGCAGGCAAAAGTTGGGCATGGCTTTCTCAGGCGCCTATGAGGGTCTGTTGCAGATGTCGGTCTGTCTGTCCACCCAACTAAAATCTCTCTTCTGGGAGAGGAAAGCAGCGGCAGCTGATTTATCTGGAAGCCACAACCTTTCACTTTGGTTTTCTCATTTGACCCCATCCTAGGTACACTTCATGTTTTCTCATTTAAAAAAAATTCTTACTTTCCTCTTGAGTGAGGCGGGGAGGGGCAGGTCCCAGAACCAGCTGGGACCCCAGGCGTCCAGTAGGCACCACCAGGACCCCCGCAGGCGTTGCCCCTACTGCAGATGTCAGGGGCCACGGCGCCTCGGTGCCTGCCACCTCCTCGTCCGCCTGCTTTCCCGCCAGCATGCAATTCCCGAGGGTGAGGTCTGCATGTATTTTGGGTCCTTAGTGGCCAGATAAGGCCTGGCAAACAGCGTGCACTCAAAAAGTACTTGTTGAATGAAAAATGTCAATTGTAGACTATAAATAGCCTTGGCCAGGACAAGCGACCCCCCCAGGCCCATCCCGCCGACTCCCATGCCCCCCCCCATGCATGTCTGTGGCACACGTGCACTCGCAGGCACCGCGCTGTCTCGGGTGTGGACAGCTGCACGTCAGGCCCACGGCCATGGGGGCGGGGGGGGGACACGAGAGGTGTCACAGTAGCCCTGGCCTCGTCCTGCAGCTTCGCCGCGCAGAGGAAAGGAAAACACCCGACCTGCACACTTCAAGGAGGAAGAATTTCACCTTTGGGTTTGTGGATACAAGAGAGGCGCCTTCCTCCCGAGACAGATCCTGCCTCCTGCTGTAGCCCGCCACGTGCGCCCTGGGTGAGGGTGCGGCCACAACACGGTGTTAACAGAGCTTACTGCCGACCCGGTTTCCCCAGCTCTTTAGGCAGAAACCGTCTGCAATCCTCCGACCTGGCCGGACCCCACAGAAGCCATTTCTGGTCTGAGCCGCTACTGCCCACACACCACCCTGGGGCTGCCTGTGGCAGGGAGTCAGTGTGGCTCACAGGGCGCTTGGGGAAGTTGGAGAGACCCATGTTCTGGTCCAGGTCCCATCTGTTATTGGCTGTGACACTGTGGAAGCGTGACTCAGCTTGTCACCTGTGATACGGAATTAAGGACCTCGACCAGACAGAGGCGCCAAGGACTGCACAGGAGAGTGTGTGGGGGGGGGTTCCCCGTGGTTTGCTTTGCTGCTAGAAACGCCCAGTAGCTTCCTGGATTCCGTGAACCCACCTAGTTCTCGACCTGCTTACTCCTGCCACTCGTTTGCTCCCTTTTTTCATTCAACAAGCATTTCCTGCACAAGTACCAAGCCTTTATCATGACCATTTCCAATCCTCTGAAGAGCTGGGAGGATGAAAGACAAAAAAAGGAAACGACAACGTTCTGAGTCCTTGAATTTGCCCATCTTCCTCAGTTACCTGGACGTGAGAACAACTGGGGGCCTGTCCAATACTCCCCCCGGCCCCCCGTTGCTGTTTTGAGAGTGGCCCCTTCACTAAGTAAGTGCTGCCGGAGTGTTGCAGGGAAGGAGCCGAGGAAGCTCAAACAAGGTTAGTCTCCCACCGGGACCGCCACGTAGACTGACGAGTGAGGACATTCAACTAGCAACCACAGGCATTGTGAGTCACATCGTCCCCGACCCTTCACTCGGGCCAGGGACCTCAAGGGGCAGGGACAGGGCCGCCACAGCCAGCCCAGGCCATGCAGTAGAGGGGAGAACACCCCAGGGTGCCACACAGACAGGGCCTTACAGCCTGCACGCCGCAGGCGCTCCCCCGCCGAACCCCGCCGAGGCTGCTGCCGTCCCACGCAGGTGCCTGCGACAGAAGCGGACTGTCAGGACAGGGCTCCCTGCTCCCCAGCACACACTGAAAGGCAAGCCAAGGAACACAGGTGCCAGGAATGAGTCCTGAAAACACCGAGAGGGGGACGTGCGTGGCGGGCTCCAAGCCACCTCCACAGGCCCAGCACCGGGCAGCAGGGTGGGGAGGGTGGCACCTAAGGGACACGGTGTGGTTGCTGTCACCCGCATGCAATGTAAGGGCCAAGTGACTCTGTAAAGGTGTTACTCTGAAAAAGATGCCTTGCTAAGGGACAATTTGTTAGTAATCCAGATTTAATACGAGCAGATCACTCCAGTAGCCTGAACTTTGTCACGGCGTCCTCATACCTGGTGTTTAGAAAGTGACTCTAAGGTGAAGTGGCTCTGGAATGAAAAAGGATGTTAATTATAGTTCAATTTCCGTAATTCTTTAAAAATCATAAAGTGGAAAACAGAATAGCCGATCAACTTTGAAATTCCCGGGAGCTCTGAGGGGGAAAAGGAAGCGGGGTGACAGTCATCGTTAGCTGGCCAAAGGGGACTGACAGGCACCATGCAAACCCCCATGTCGCATAATTCAACCCTGGACAACAGGTGCGCATGCGTGGTGGGGCGCGGCGGAGGCGCCAGGAGCGCAGATGGGGTGGGGGGCGCACGCACCCGGTAACTCCCCGACGACGGCCCGGCAGCGCTGTACAGACAGGAGGGCTGGAGGACGGAAGGAAACGGCAGGTTTTAAAAGCTTTGAAAAAACCCAGCAACAAATCAGGATAGGGGCTCTCCATGCTTTCATTTGCGAGGCAGCCAAAGGAAAAATGCATGATTTCAGCCCCTCCGGTGGATGCAAATGCGACTTTCCACGGAAGATAAACTCGAGATGGTTTGTAACTTGAACACAGAAGCCTTCCCCGGAGTCTTTGACACGTGACTCCTTTTTAGCCATTTCTTTCCAGGCATTCCTGGAAGAGAGGGCGAGGGGCTGGGAGGGAAGGTGACGAGCTAAACAACACGCCCGAGAGCAACCAGACAGGGCGTTAATCCACAAACTGCCGGCCGGCCAGAGGGGGCAGGAGCGCGCTTGTTTCCATCCGGGTGCCAGCCTGCGGCCAGCTCGAGCCCACGCGCACAGGGACATGCTGGCACCTAAAGGCTGGGGCTGCCGCGACTGAGCTCTGAAATGAATAGCATCGTGACTCATTTCCAGGCCCTGGCCGCGGAAGGCCCAGAGCACAGGGCCCCCGGGGCCAGTCTTGGAAGGTGCACAACTGCGGATGAATCACTCAGCGTCGCAAGGGAAAGGACAATGGAGGGAGATGACAATTCAGCCTCCAAGTCGGTACTTGGAGCTCTGACCCGGGTTTCCTTGTGTGAGCACCAGACTGGGTGCCCAGAGCCGCACAGGCCCGGCCCTCCCCCGCCCCGCGCAAACAGGAAGCGAGGGGAGAGTGAGCCAAAGCAGCAGGCTGGCTTCACCACGCCTGCCAGACAGGGGAGTCCAATGAGGCACAAAAGCCTCCCAAATTGCTTCCTGGACACACTGACAAGAGAAAAATATTTTTAAAGGACAAATGAAACCCCAAATAGGGAACAATTGCTGGAAAAGGAGGAGGGACCCAAGAGACCAATTTTGGGGGCCAGAGCTTTTGAAAATACACATTGACTAGGGCCTCCTTTTCCCTAAGTTCCTTTTTTCTATATAAGGTCTTCAGTTATGTTCAATAATGTTTTTAAAGGTTGAGAAAAGTCTTAATTAGGAAGTTTGTCAAGCCAATGAAAACCCTGGCCAGGCTTGGCTCTTTGGGCTTCATGTAGAGGAAGGTGAGGCGTCTGCACTCATGTTCAGCGATGCCAGGGGTGCTCCGGGAGAAGGAAGAGGGGGCATGACAAGGAGGGGGGTGGACCGGGTTTCCGCTCTGGGCTGCTGGAGCTTGGAGGGCAAGGCCACGGAGGGCAAGGCCACTGCGGGCAAGGCCAGGGTCAGAGCAGGACAGTCCCTGTTTCCGGGGAACACAGGCAGGAGGGAACAGGGGCTATTTCATCTCAAAGGCACATCACATTGTCAATTCACACAAACCACTTTTCCAACAAAATCGGCAACAGCCATGCACGTGCAGGGGCAGGAGAGAGAAGCAGCACCAGGGGGAGATCAAGATGGTCCCATTAAGGGACGAAACTGTGCGTGGGTGTCTGTGTGGGTGGGGGACCGAATCAGGACTCGTGAATCTACACACAGGCAAAACCCGGTTTCATTCTTTTTAACTGGTAACAAGACCGTGGGGTTTTGAATGTTTTTGTCATTTGAGGCCTGATTTTTAAAGTTTGGTGGGAAAAGCTCAAAACCAAGACTTTGCAGAGATATCAACCTCTGCCTTACGCACCAGGATGTGCCACCGGAAATTGTCCTTGGCTTGGCCTCCTAGGAAGTCACGTGAGGCCGGTGCTCACAGTTCATAGGCGACAGGACAAATTCAGTGCTGTAATTCTGAGACCTGGGGAGTACTACTCTACAACTTAATAATTGCCTCAAATAAACTGTGTTGCCCAGGTGTCTATGTCGGAAGTACTCCACTAATCATGCAAGAACAGGAACCATCCCTACAGGTGCAGCGGCTCCATTCAGGTAACTGGATGGCACCTTCAGACATTCACCACCCCTTCGAGGTCCCGTGGTTTGTGCCTGTCACTCCTATGCCTCGAATAAGTGACACCCAAAGGACCCGAGGCATAGACAGGTGGAATTCTGGAGTGGGCAGAGGGACACTTCCTAATGTCTAATGTGAATGTCGCGACTGGTCCGGGGGCTGTGCTGACAGCGTGCAGGCCCACGCGGCCACGTGGGAGAAGGCACGCGTAGCCCCTCCGACACTGTGTGGTCCCGTCCAGCGTTTGGGTCTGAGGCATCTGAGGGCCCAGAGAGGCTCTTCATGAAGTCACCACCGCTCCACACTACAGGGACACCTGCCGTGATCAGATTTCAGTGGCAGTAAACAAGCCGATGCGCCTGCGCAGGGACAGACGTGGCGTCTGCAGCGCACGCACAGTGGTGGCTGGGAAGATCAGTAAAACATGCCAGGCAGTGTGGGGCGGGGACAGGTGGCCCGGGGGAAGTTCTGACGGGAATTTTGACTTTGACACTTCGGGTGTGGGTTCTCTTAAATGAACTCGGGTGCTGCGCTGCGGCACTGGGCCTCCTCCACCCTCTCCCAGTGGAGAAGCGGTGTCTCCACTTGGAAAGTGAGGAGCAAGAAGTTTCCTGAAGGACAAAGTGCTCTTTGCAATAGCAAAGCGTCCCTGGAATTGAGAAAATATACACAATACCCCCCAAATTCAAGGTGTTCAGACCCACCAGCACTTGGCGGCTTAGAGCTGACCTTGTTTATATTCACTCAAAGCTCACCTGCTGGGGAGGTGAGGGCCAGAACCAGCAGGGAGGCTGGAGTGCGGTCCCTCCTGGTCACAGTGGGTGGTGGGCTTCTGGAGAGGGGCTGAGCACGCTGACGGGGGTGGGTGGGAGCTTCCAGCAGTGTATGGACCCCCCCACTCCCCGAAGGCAGAAGCAGGAAATGGGGGGGGGACCAGGCATGACAGAGGCGAGGACACAGACCCCTGTGGGTCTGCCCAGTCACTTTCCCTGTATTCTTTCTCCCCCACCCCATTCTCCGCAACCTTAAAGTTGAGTGCACGTTCTTACTCGTGACACTTGTTGAAGATGAGTTTGTCCCTGTCGCCCTGTTTACTGTGGCACGGATGCACCTGTCAGGCAGGTGTGTCTTCTGTTCCAGAAGGAAACATGGCTGTCGGTGACCTTCCTCCTACCTGAGCTCACCTGTTTGCCATGCACTGGAGCCTTACCTGGGACAAACAAGCCTTCCTCTCAGGACGCTTAAAGAATTGCGCAATATTTGCCTTTCAAAAGGGAGGCAGGTCCTTGACAATGGGAGGAGCTGCTGTGTAGACACGTGGGTTGGGCTTTGACTTGCGTTCCAGTCCTAGTTCCTCCCTGAGAAATTGCCCCGAGTTGGCATGCACCTTACAAAGTAATTCTTTTCAGGAATTTTCAAGGAAAGATGTTCAAGTCTTTCTTATTTTTTTTCTCCTGATTAATTCTAACATGACATAGCCACATAAATACTTCTGTTCATTGTACTGAGCTGAATCCCATGATCCACCGTCAAAAAGCCGAACGTGAATTCAAAAGGACCGTGGCTAAGTCAGAATGAGATGCAGCGCGCCTGCCACCGCTCCAGGATGGACGCTGCCGTCCGTCCACCCGGGGGAAGTTTGTAACACGGGCGTTAAAAGGGCAGAGCCGAGCTCACACGCGCACACACGCGAGGCTGCATGCCGCAAACCGGCCGCTTCTGACAGCAGGGTGGGGAAGGCTGAAAGGGAAACCAACCAGCTTCTCCTCTCTGGATGCTGACAAAGTGGAGGGCCTGCCGTCACCGCTGTAGCTGCAACTCTGGGCACCGAATAAGACACTGTAAGTGGCACGCACTCCGCTACCGCGCCCAAAGCCCACCGGCCCCGGGGCAAAGGCGAACGCAGGCTACAGAGGACATAGCCACGCCGCCCCATCAGCCCTCCAGAACGTGAAGGGTCGAGGGTCTGCCACAGCAGAGACTCTCAGCAGCGGGGGGTCGAGGCTGCACCTCACAGTCGGGTGTCCGCGTCTCTGTGAGTCATGTGGTTGAACGAGGACCGTTTTCCACAACTTCCCGTCTCTGGTGGCACTAATACAAGGGACGAACTATCGCCTCCCGGCCTGGATTCGGTGTCACGCACTCTCTCAGCTAAAACCCCATCTGTAGCAAAACGTCCCATCTCCGTCCAGGCCTGTACGCCTGAGGGCTGCTGCCCGGCCCCGGGCCCCGGGCCCCATGCAGGCGGGTGGCCTGAGAGATCTGTCCCCTCCAGCTGGGGACCACTGTCCACAGAAAGCAAGGGCCCTGCAGCCGGCTTTGAGGTGTCTCGGGTTATACTCCAAAAAGGTCAGATCCAGCCCAGAATCTGGATGGGCAGGCGAGGTGGCGAGGCGGGCATCCAGACCAGCAAGCGGCCCCCTGCGCAGAGGAGGCGATGTCTGCAGACGCTTTGCTTCAGCCTGGGCATCTCAGCCCCCCACCCCCAGCCGGTCCTCCCTGCGCCTACAAGGCTTCCCAGCCCCACCCAGCCTTTCTCACACTCGTCCTCAGGGGTCCTGCCCGGGGACCCACCCCACGTGACGCTGCATGAGCTGTGGCTCATTTGGTTCTTCGATCATCGCACTTCTTCATTACTTATGAAATCCAATTCATGCCCAATTTTACTCTGTGGTGAACAGTTTTACAATCAAGGTTTTGTGTATTTCTCCAGGCATGACTTAAATCTTAATAAATCATACAGCGTTACTGGTTTAATGTAAAAATCAAAGATTAACGTAGAGCTGTAGGTGGAAGAAGGTGTAAGGGGGATAAACGGTAATGGAAAAAATACAATAAAAATTCTTAGGCAAAAAAAAGTGGTAAATAATAAGACATGTGGCTGTGGTAGATCCTAGAGCCCGACAACACCCTGGCTGTCACAGAAGTGGCGGCTCCACGTTCGGGACCCGGCCCCGGACTCCGGGCCCTGCGATCCTCACGGAGGAGGACGTGGGGAGGGCGGGGAGCTGCCACCCAGGCAGTGCAGCCCCGAGGGGCGGTCCGTCTGCGGCCCCCGGAGCACACGGTGGCTCTCGTCCCAAGAGCCTGCACGACACTGGCTGCAGGTCACGAGGGCGCACCGCCTGCTCCGTGCCCGGCGTGGACGGAAACTCAGGGAGACACAGGACAGACCAGAGGAGGCCCACGGGACCCTGGCGCAAAGAGCAGCGGAGCGGGAGGGTTTGCACGCAACAGCGCGTGCGCGATCCTCCCAGGCGGCGGGGCTGGGGGGGGGGGGAGGGGGCGGACCTGTCAGTCCAGTTCAGGGAGCGGGGCTGGAGCTGGCTTCCCCCTTCGAAACCTGAACGTGTAATTTGAGTGTACAGATGAGATATCTTAATACCACTAATACGGTTAAAGAAATAGTATTTCACACAGCTAGTAAAATGCATTACCACGGAAAGGGGGAGCAAATGGCTAGTGTGGGAAGGTTCTAGATGACCTAATGCAGAACAGCACTGCCGCAGGCCACGCAACTGGAAAACGGATCCAGTCAAACGTTCTGAAATCCACGGAGCCCTCCCCGGCCTCCGGCAGGGTGCCGCTTCAGCGACCCCCCATCCTGGGAGAGGACCCCTGGGCCCTCCCTCCCCACTTCTGCCTCCCACCCCGGCCTGTGAGCGTCCGGAGCACCCAGGCTCTGCTATCTTCAAGATCGCAGACCAGGGGCCCAAGACTGGTGATGTCGAATTCCAACGTGATTCACACACCACACACATACACCTAGGGCGGTAAAACAAGGGAAGAGCTAATCTGTAATTCCAGATCTTTTAAACTTAGATAAAAACGAATCTCTTACACTATTGCTTAGAATGCCAGAGGACTCACATTCTGAGAATGTTTACTGAAGAACATCAGTTAGCTTTCACTCTGTCGTGCACTAGGGGGGAAGACCCACTGCCACAGAAAAACAAAAAAGCGGCCACACTGCTCCGTCTTTTGGAAAAGCTTTGCCGCACCCTGTCTGGGTCTCAGGCATGCAAGTCGACCATACTGACCCTGCCAGATCTTCTGCTCAGGGACTGCGATCCATACAAGTCTCCATCATAACCATTTGTCTGTTTCAAGGAAGAAAAGAAGAAAAAGTGACATCAGCGTACAAGACAGGACAGGGTGCAGACAGACAGATGCACACGGGCAAGGAGGAGGAGGAACGCACCAGGCACACACCGAGCTTTCTGAGCAGAGGAAGGGGGGGTGCGGGGGAAGCCTGGGAGAACCCGAAGCCGAGCCCCCCACCCCTGCAATGCCTCCTGCCTTCCGCCCGCCCCTCTGCAGCTCAGGGGGGTCCACTTGGGGTCACTTGTGAGTAACTACAGGGCATCTCCTGTGGATGAAGCCCATGGGCCTGGGGGCAGCCACTTTCTGGCTGGTTCTTCTCGTTTCCAGCTTTTTGGCCGTGCTGTGGATGTTCGGCCGGAGCCAGTCAGCTGCCAGGCCTGGGCTCGGGCAAGTCCGGGACATGCGCAGCCCACAAGGAAGCTGTATTCAGAAAGTTCGGACACAGCGTCTGGTCAATCCGCGATTGGACATAAAAGCACATCATGGAAGACATATGTCCTCTTAGTTTTTCACTTGCCCAGTCTTCCTATCTTTTTTTCTCCCCAAAATGAAATCCGATGACTTATTTCACGACTTCATAATTTGTCCTTCAGCAAAAACAAGAGAAAGGCCACACTGCACACACGCCAGTCTCTTCTCTCCAGCCCCGGCCCGAGTTCCCCTAGCCCGGCGCTCCGGGCTCACCAAGCTGCTCTCCTTCGTCCCTACGGAGGTTTCTGCTGAGGAGCGGGTGTCCCGTGACGAAGACAACCAGTCCCTGGGGCAGGAGAAGGAGGGGCAGGCCCCACCCGTGGTGAGAGAGGAAGGAGGTGCCAGGCTGGTGGACACGAGTCCAAGTTCGAAACGGAAGCCCTCAGTCCCTCGCCCGCCTGGGCTGGGCGGGTGTGCACAGAAACACACTTTCCAGGGACACCGGGCGGGGGTCAGCCCTGACTGAGACCGGGAGGGGCGGCACTCAGCACTATTTTGCGGCCATGACATTAATGTAGAATCGATAAATGAATTTCCAGAGTATAAACCCAGATTCGTGAGATCTGGACTACTGAAGCTCTGTATTTACTTTTGCTACAACTAAAAACAAAACAAAACCAAACCAACTTGAAGTTTCTAAATTAAAGAAGAGTGTGTAGAAATCTCTCAGCCTTTGATTGGACAACTCTAGGAGAAATTTTAAAACATTTCTGAAGTAAATTTAATCGAAAAAAATGTTTAGAGATGGTCAGGAATTTTACTCAGTCTAATGGTTTAATTTCTTCTCTTGACCAACAAGATTATTTGATATGGAAATTTGTGCCACTGACTTCTGTATTTCAGACCCTGGCCTTATTCTCTTCATATCTGTTTAAAAACTAGTTTCTTATCTTGGCTGGTGTGGCTCAGTGGACTGAGTGCCGGCCTGTGAACCAAAGGGTCACTGGTTTGATTCCCAGTCAGGGCACATGCCTGGGCTGCAGGCCAGGTTCCCAGTAGGGGGCGCTCAAGAGGCAACCACACATTGATGTTTCTCTCCCTCTCTTCCCCTCGCTCTAAAAATAAATAAATAAAATCCCCCCAAAAAAACCCCACTAGGTTCTGGAAAAAATATGACGATGAGGGCTGACAGCGATCCATTTTAGGAAACTTTTACTTCACCACACTAATTGACGAATGAAAATGGATTCCGTATCAACACTCCGCATCTCCAGTGCTGCTAATGAGGCAGGACTGCTTGACCCGAACCCGCCTTCCGGTCTCCTCCTCCAATGGGGGACAGCCTGCAGCAGGGGGCGGGGAGGCTGGGGAGCTTCCGCTCCCACTTGTCACCCTTCCCCCGGCCTTCCATGACGACCTGGGCCCCCTGCCTTCGGAGGCGGCGGAGCACGCACCCTCTGCCCAGGAGCAGAGTTCGGTCATGGGGGGCACCTTCCCAGGACGTGTTCCCAAACCTACTGGGTCTTAACCTCTGCGGTGGAAAGTTCTCTGACTTTCTTCAAGAAACCGCCAGTTCTGCTCTCAGGGTTCTGGGTGCCGAGTGGAGGCGGTGGGGCTGCTTCCTGTGCCGCCACAGGCCCGGGAAAGCTGAAAACTAACGGGAACTCCAGGACAAAAGGCCCAGAGACCCCAGGCCAAGTGCATCCGAAGTCCCCGCCGTTCCACCAGCTTTCTCCACAGGATGTTTCCCACGCTCCGAGCTGTGCCGTCCACCGGCATTGCTGTCACCCGGCCTGCTCCTTAGCACTCTGGGCCCTGACCTGGGACATCCCCCGGAGGCCTGGAATCTGCATTTTCACACACCCCGAGGGGAGTCTCCCCGGAGGGACGTGGGGCAGCACTGCGGTCAGAGGGGACGACAGACACTCGCAGACCAGCGTCTCCTGCGAGAGGAGAAATCCGATTCCAGGATTACTAAGGCCCCGTCCAAACCACTCATCCTAACGGTGAGTCCTGCGTGTAGTCGGTCAGTGCCGTCAGAGCGTCCACCAACTTCACACGTGGCCGTGCGAGAGTCAGTCGTTAGCTTTTCTGACGATCAATGTGAGATTAGTTTTCCGCAGGGAGTGAGACGGGGAACAAAGGAGAAGGCAGCCCCAAACCCGTCGTGCAGCCCCTGGTGCCCCCCGTCAGGACGGGGCGGAAGCTGACAAGGGAGGCGAACCCCAGAAGTTGCCCCTGGCGGCCGCGCGCCCACGCAGCCGTCTTCCGCTCCACCAGGGACTGGCCCTGAGCGGGGCTCACTCTCAGTTGGAAACGAGAGGGCCAAGCACCCAGAAACGTGCCACTCATGCACTAAACAATGGAAAAGCTGCCACAGCATCGTCACAGACCTGCTCTCGCCTGCCAGTGTCACTGGGGAAGAGCACTTTCTGAAGCTCTGACGTGTCCCTGCCCGTCCGCCACCGCAGCAGGCCTGTCCCGGTAGCTGAGCCACGGCCAGGCTGGACTGCCAGTCTCCTCCGGGAGCTCAGTGGCTCCCCCGGAGGCTCAGGGGTCCGAGTCCAGGGTGCTGGGAGCATGGCGGCACTACTGATTGTCACCTTAAAGGCGAGGACACTTTTTTAAACCAGGAATTTGCTAAAGAACGGTGAGATGCACTGGACTGAATAAAGCAGAAAGGGTGTTAGAAGCGCTCCCACAGCTTTGGTGCCGAGAGCGCTTTCTGTGGAGACGAGACCTTCCTTTGGGAGTTACGCTCAGGGGCCACGGGGAGCACAGCCCCTCTCCCGGGTAGGTGCGCAGGAGCGCCTTCGAATTTGAACAGAAAGCCTTCGTTTTGTTGCTGAGATGGGGACCTTTCAGGCAAAGGAGCCCCGTGCAACATTAACTTAAATGGATGCAGATTAGAAACAATGTTTTTTTTTTCAGGAAATCAAGCAACTTTAAATTTAATCTTTTAAAGGAACCGTAGAGGCTTCTGGAATCCTTGATCTGATCTGAGTTCCTTGAGAGCAGGACACTCTCTGTTCCCCCACCCCCACCCCGGGGACCCAGAGCCTGACCAGGTGGCTGGAGATGCGCCCGGGGCCCGGGGAGAGGACCGAGCACAGGAGGGGGCGCCTGCCTCTGGCCCTCGGTCCCCAGCTGGAGACTGGTGGGTGGCCTGTGCATCTTTTCAGACAACGACACACTTGGCTTTTTAGACAAACACCCATGAGATTAGTGGGGCCACACTGGTTATTATCTGCCACACGACACCATCGAGGACACACAGCAACTCATGCACCCGTCTCACCCAGGCGCAGGAACCCCCGGTCTCCGAGTCGGGCCGTGGCTGTCGGGGCGGGACGGACGAGGGGAAGGACAGAAAAGAGAGGCCACACCGTTAAAACGCGAAGTGAAACAGAACAATGCCAGAGGGCAGGCACAACCGAAAACTTTAACACAGTGTCAACTTCCTGTGATGCCTCGGACCTCACGGGTGTTTGCAAAGGGAGCCGCGTCAGAAGGGCAGCCGCCGTGAGGTCAGTACCGTGAACTAGGAAGCTCGCGGCAAACGCCACTGCGGTGCCCGGAATCTGACGCGGTTGGAGCAACTTCATTTCCTCCTCTTAAGTCCGCCCTGGCCCTGCAGGGACAAGGACGACTACTGCGTGGCACCTGGTATCACCACTGCTGCAAGCGGCAGTTACAGGCCTAGTGCCCAGAGAGGTCTGGGAGTGACGCCCTGCTGCCGGGTGCTGCTGGTTAAAACAAGCCTTCCGCCCTGCCCGTGGCTGCTCCAGACCTAGTTATCACCCCAGGGGGGTGCAAATTCAACCCCGAGGTGGACTAACCTGGAGTGTGTAGACCAATGGACCGGCCTAGAAACACAGCTTCCCTACCTTGCTTCCCAAAGCACACAACAGTTTTCAAATATAATCACGAACCCTTTTGGAAAGTTTAAGGAAAACAGGTTTTCATGTTTATGAGCCATTAAGTGGCCGTGATGAAGAGGTTCCATCCAGTTGACAGAAGGGGCGTCCCCTGGAGGAGAGCGGACGCGGCCCCGGGACCCTTCACCCCAGCTCCTGCCAGGCAGCCCGGCCGGCGGGCGAGGCGCAGAGTTGGCTGGGGGGTGGTGTGCGGGTGGACACGACCAACAAAGGGGTGGCCGTCCCGTCCCAGGGACAGACGTGTAAAAACACAGTGGCCTCTACTCCTGGAGAGAGATGCCTCGAAGGTGCGGCCTGAGCCTCCTAGGACTGTCCCCACAGCAGCAAGGGGACACCCCACCACTGAAGCAGATTTTTTCCTTTTCTTACTGTTGTTCTACTCCAATTGTCTCCCTTTTCCTCTACCACTTCCCCCCACCCCACCCACCCCCACCCTAGATTTTGTTTTCATTAAAATTTGTTTTTTGTTGTGGGCACTATTACAAATGCCCCCACTTCCCCTCCCCCCTCCGCCCACCCCCAGAGTAGGTTTTAAATATGCGTCTTATCGGTTTGACACTGATGCCAAGGGCTCAGGGACCGTGAGAAGGGGAGGTCAGCGCAGGGAGGAGCAAGCGAGGGCCCCGGACACACACTGACCCACGCGGACTCAGTCGCCCGGGCACGGACCCTCAGGCTCCCGCGGCTGCCCACAGACAGGCGCTCGTCCTCGTCGGAAGCCTAGTGAGAGAAAGGAGGAGACGGGCGTGACTCGGGGGTGGGACACGGAGCAGCCGCGCTGGCGGTGGGGGGGGTGCGGCCGGGGTGGCTGAGGCCCCCAGGGCAGGGCGCCCTGGCTGCCTCCAGGCACCCGGCGGCCTGAGCCCAGGTCCTGGGACTCGGGCTCCGCCTGGGCGCCTGTTTCCGGGGGAAACTGCTCTGGGCCAAGGCGGCTGCACACCAGCCCCTTCAAAGCGTGGCCGCTGGCTGGGCCGGCCATCGCTTCACTTCCCAAAGCACAGAGTTTTTCAAATGCAATGGGGAATACTTCAGCGAGGGTTAAGGAACTATGTTTTTGCGTGTATTGCATCGCCCTGCACATGTACTCTGTGAGTGCATCGCCCTGCACATGTACTCTGTGAGGTACTCGGGGGTCTTTGGCAGCAAAAACGCACGAAAACTGTCGTGACCGTATCAACACTCGGCAGTTTCTCAAACATCCCTCCCTCCCTCCCCCAAACCAGGTCCACACGCTACATACAAGCTGAGTTCATAGTTTTCATTTAGGTAATAATAGGAGTTTTAATTTCTGAGGAATACACACGTATGAATCATATATAGAAATATATACGTGTTTCAGCCACTAAAAATACAGGCCGGATTCCCCTCTAGGTGCCCGAGCAGCGAGTGGACGCAGTACTGACCGACACGCTCCTTCTGGATCTGCGGGAGTAGCGCTCACTGTCTTCCTACCGAAGCAGAGGAGGAGAGAGCAGGGAGGTTAGAGACCCGCCCGGGGAGCCTCTGACGGCCAGGCAGGATGGGGTGGGGTTCATTTTTCAGACGGAGGGAGCCCGCGCTCTTTACGCCCCCGGAACTCTACTGCCCTTCCTATTTTAGATCGGCAAGGAAGTGCTTTCACATTTCCTTAATTTATCAATGCATATAAGGGGTGTTTAACAGGACGTTTCATACTGGCCATGTTCTCAAGTGCTGAAGGCACATGACAATGTCCAGGAGGCCGGTGACAGGGACGGGGTGGTGGAGCACAGCCAGGTGCCTGACTCAGTGAGGAGGAGCCATGTCCTCTGGGGACCGTGGACAGCACTGCACCCCCTGGGGAGGGTCGGAAGGACAGGGTGTCATGAGGGGTGAGCCATCTCTCAGCAGACACAGGAAGACAGGGGGGCTGTTCTGGGAAATGGTGAGAAGCGAAAGGAATTTTCTCACCAAAGAACAGCGGTTTCGGTGGGCCTAGTGGCGAGGTGGGGGCGGGGCGCACAGGGAAGGCAGAGGAAGGTCAGAGCGGCCCGCTGGCCGAATGGCGAATGAAGGAAACGGGGCGTGTGACCTCTGGGTTCCAACTAGAGCCTGGGGAGGCAGGGCGGACACGGGGGAGTTCGCACACCGGGGACGCACGCCCGACTGTCCCTAGTGGACAGTCCTGTGCCCCAGGAGGTCAGGGAGGGCGGAGGCCCCCCACCAACTTTGGCCTGGAGACTGCAGGGGTCCGTGGCACTGATCAGAGCCGGGCCAGACGCCTGGCCCAGGCCCTGCTGACCAGGCCGGACGCCTTGGGGACCTGCAGGAAGCCCTCGGTACTGAGTCCCGGGGCAGCAGGGACCCCCTGACGCAGTCACTTGGTGCAAAGACCACACTGGGAGCCCTGCCAGCTCCGTAAACCGAGTTCGAGGCCTACCATCCACTGCTCGATGTCGCCCCACTTCGTCTCCAGCCCATAGTATTTCTACAGACGGAAGGAAGAGACAATTAGGCAAGAAGTGCAATGGTCGCTGCGCAAGGAGCTGCCATGACATGCGTTCCCCGGGTGCTGCCCAAGCCACACGGTGCGGGTCACACGCCAAGACAAAGCTGTGACAGCAGGTCGGGTTCTGCAGCGGCAGCGCCACCAGGAGCTGGGCACACCCTCCCCGCCCCCACCCACCTGCCCGCAAGTTCAGGGAACGAAGCACTGGGTCGGGGCGGCTCCCTGAGACCAGGGATTGGCCCTGTCCCTCTGTGCTGGTGCAGAGGGACAGCAGCTGACGGCCAATCCCGTGTCACAGACAGGAATGAGGAAACCTGGCGGCAGGGGGCCACTGTGACCCCCTGGCTTCCCGGTCACTTGTGCCCACTGCCTGACACCTGGGCTGAGCTGGGTGCAGGGGACGGTGAACTCCAGGAGCCGTCAGGGCCACGGAGGCAGCGGCCTCTGGACGGGAGGAGGTCCTGCCTGCAGCTCCCGCCTCCGCGTTTCTGCCTCACCTGTCTAAGGGCATCCTTGTCGGAATCAGGAAAACGGATTCCGACCGGCCCCGACTGTCCCCAAACACAGTCGGTCATTCCTGAGACAGCGGGAGCCCACGTTTGCTTTTCTCCTCACTTTGCCCTCAATTTCCAGGTAGAAAATCAAGGCACAGCCAACCAGAGGTCCACCACATAGATGAGATTTTTCTCTTTACACAGTGAAGCCTTATAACCAGGAGGAAAAAGTGGGAGTGTGAAGTACAAGACGAGTCTTGGCGTTGTTTTACGCCGCTGCTACAGTTGGCTCGGTCACCGTTCCCTTGGAGGGGGCCCTGGTGTCAGCTCCCGGGCCTCCAGACAGCCTGGCCCCTTCTCCTGGCCTTCCTCTTTGAGGTGGTGGGAGGGGGAAGCCGGAAGAGGGAAAATCGGGAGGGAGGGTTGGACGATGAGGCTTTGAATGTTCAAACCGTAGGGAACTGTGGTGTCCAGCATACCTGGGCCTAATCTGTCTGGGAGTGACTTTCCTTGGGCTATAAACTGTGGAAACAATAGTCAGCACTTCTTGGGCGCATGTTAACTTCTGATTAGGTCAGATGCAGGGGCTCAAAGCGCCGTTGCCTCCCATTACTATTGGCCGAGGAGCTGCCCAATTCCAGTAAGTAAAATGGGAGGCCGTGGACCTTTGCCTCCTGGCTGAATTACAGATGGACACTGGGTTTTAAGCAGGAGGCGGGCCCACAGACGTTCATGACGTCACACTGAAATTTCAAAAGAGGCCTGTGGGAGCAGCTCCCTGTCTTTCAGTCTCCTCTGTTCCTGTCCTCATCACTACCCACACTACCTGCTGCTCTTTCCGTTGTAAATGTAAGAACCAGGGTTTGGAACCTTCCATCTCATGGTGGGGGGGGCTTCCAAGTAGCTGCCGTTGGGGAAGTCTCGCTGCGTTTCGGTGCCGTTCCGTGGCGGGGGGAGGAGACCCCAGATGCACACTGTAAGTAGTGTCGTGAGCGGCTGACGCTGGCTCCTGGGACGGCCCAGCCAACTCCAGACGTGCACGTGAACCGGCGGATCGGCAGGCGAGGCGCTGGGGTGAGCGAGGGCCCCAAGGGAGCAGAAGGCGCCTGACTTTCAGGAACAGCTTTGATTCCGGAGGAAACAGCCCCGTGGGCTGGGAGGAGCCCTTACTGCCTCGTCCTCCTCGTCAGGGATCTCAGGACAGGGGACCGTCATTAGCATCCACCGTGGGCCTGCGTTTCTGCTGAGGGCTGGTCGCACCTCATGCACCAGAGACCGCCCTGACCCCTGCTAGTACGGGGTCCCTGCTCCGACCAGTCACAAGTGTATCCTAGTGGCAATTTCCAGACGGTACCCTTGTCTAGGTTTGGGACAATGACGTCTGTCCTGCGGGTCACAGCCAGGGTTCCAGCCCCGCCTCAACCTGATCACTTCTTCCTGAGACCCTGCGTGTGTGACTTGGCTGGAGCACAAGGGTTAGGCTTAGCGTGGAGCCCACGCTAATTCCCGGACCCTACAAACTCCAGCCCGGCACCAATAGGTACGGGTGCTCACTTCACTGACTCCTTACAGACGTGGGGAGCCCGGTCACACAGGCGGGGTGTGGGCAGGAAGGGGAGGCCACTCGGGGCTGTGGCCGGTCAGGGGGCTCAAGCACAGCACCCCACGGTTTCCGACACTGTGTGCGGAAACCTCTGGACTCACCTCTGGACTCAGGTCGCCTCGCTCTGATTTAATTAGTAGCTGCTCTAAAAGAAAAACCATGGCTCTGGCTCTTTATCTGGAAACTGAATAATTTCATATAAAAAGCAACTAGGAGAGGTGTCACATGGGACAGATCAAACCCACGTATGGGAATGGCTGTGGGCAGCACAGTCTGGAAAACCCCAGGGACCTGCTCCCTGCGTCAGGGCCGACCCGGAGCCGTCCTGGAGCCGTCCCGGTGGTCCTGCCCCTCCGTCTCTGCCACGGAGCCTGCTCTGTGCGCTGATTCCGGAACCTCGGCCGCACACCAACCTCTGAATGTGAGGGGCAGAGGGCGGGCCTATTGGACGCTGCTGAGTTTTATTGTTACGTCAGCATTTTTCTTTCTCACTCAGATCTCCTTAATAGTCTGCAGTCATCTCTTAATATTTGGTGCTTTGCATGTTAAAAGTTCTCTAACAAGATTATATGGAAGGATCATTTTTCTCTTTAAATATCTGATTTGAACAGGTTTCCCAAATTCTAATATGTGATTTAATTTTGTCCTAGAATTAGTTTTTTTCTCTTCAAAGAAACAGTTTTCTAATTTCTGGACAGAATCTCGGATGAGAAGGGCATCTGGGGTGCTGCTTTCGCAGGGATGGAAGCACGGACTGCAGTGAGCACGTTCCGGTTAAGCCAAGCCACGGCAAAGCGGTAAGAGAAGCAGCAAGAACCACGTCTTCTAGGGAAAGGTGTTATTTCTAAAAGGTGGCCAGAAAAAACTAGTGCATGCAAATCGGAAGACGAAGACAAGGAGAGCCTACCTTTTGAACTTGATAGATCTTCAGAGAAGGGCAAAAGAAATAGAAAAAGAAATATGAAATCCAATTTAAAAAGTAGAAATATCAGGGAGAAAGGTTTCGTAAGTACCTAGCGATATGAATAAAAGCCATATAGGGGAAAAAACTGAGGAATTGGTAGAGTGTGAATTTAAAAACTTCTGGAGCCTCCCTGGGAGCCTGGGTGGTCCCCGACCCTACTTCACACTCGTTGCTGGTGCCTGGGGTGGGGGGGGGCGTGTTCTCCCATCATCCTCTGCGAAAACCCTGCTGTCGCTGGGCAGCAGGGGCTGCGCCATGACCTGTCACCGTACACGGAAAAAACACTTCACCATCAGCTCAGAATTTCTCTCCATAGCGACAGAAGTGTAACCAGAAAGCGTGGAAACTGAGTTGGAAAGTCGGCCGGTGGAATCCACAGGCGGTGGAGAGAGACCGTCCCGGTTCTGAATCCTGTGGGTGCAAATGGAGCACCGGGGAGATTCGGCCGAACGGGGCGCTCACTAGAATAGACGGGGAGCACGTTTTACAAAGGCCGTTGTCACACACTGGCACAGACAGCGGTTTGCTTCGGAGGTCCCACCTGGGGTGCAGGCATCCCCGGGTTAGCCTGAGAGGTGCTTCGCTCCCTCCCTCCCTGATTTGAGAACATGTTCACTGAGTCGGGCCATCGTTCGAGGCTCGGCCAAACTGTAAGATGAGAACCTTGGCAGTTCTGGTCTCACGTGGGTGAGCACAGATGAGCTCACTCGACATGACGACCGTGGGAGACACGGTGCCTCCAGCGGACTCTTTGCCATGTCAGGAGCCACGGAAGAGATGCACCGTGGCCACCATACCGCTGGGCGTCCTATTGCCATTCTGTCCCTGTCCGTGCAGGTTCTCAAACGGGAGGCTCTCTTGGGTTCCCCGAATCTGCCTACGCACCTTCTTCCTCAGTGGACTCTCCCAACCCTTCCAGACAGCCCAGGGCACCGTCTGCGCTGCTGACAAGGCCCATTTGGGGGGGAGCAGTGAGCAGAGCCGGGGGGCTGGGGCTGGCCCTGGTGGTCAGGATCAGCCTGCAGCCGAGCACGGCCCCGTCCTTGGGGCTGAGTGACAGCTCTACAGACCTCGGCGCCCGTGTTCCTCTGCTCACCCGTCCTCCTCTCTGGGCGCTCTCCACGCCCACCTTGGAGGGTCCCAGGCCCCAGGGGGGCTTCCACCACACTCTGCCTCTGAAAACCCCGGTCAGCACCCTGGCTTCCTGAGCCGCCAGGGACAGTCACTGCTGCTCCAGGCGTTCACAGGCCCTGTCCACCTTCCCACGGTCGGGGCTCCTTCCCCAGGAAACCCCACCCTGTGCAGAAGCACCACCCCGTGAAGGCAGACTCCTCTTTCTCAATTTTTACACCAAAATTTCAGTACTTCAGGCAGCACACCAACCTTACGGACATACCCATCTCCACTTCATCAACGACTTAAAATGCCAGTGCCCTGGGTGAGCAGACGGCAGAACCTCCGGCCCAGAGACGAGGTCTGCAAACAGGCTGAGAGGCGTGGCCCGCACACCTGCCCAAACCCCAACGCACGGCCCCCACCCTGACGCTTAGGCCACGCCTGCCGGCCTCTGGGGCACACACAAATGTCACGCACACGCCCGTGTACACGGGTGCACACACGAACACTGCCCCACCCCGGAAACAGCCGGGTGAGCAGAGACGGCCTCCCTGTTCTTGCAAAACCCTTGCTAATAAAATGGTCTGCTTTGTGTTGATCACACTGTTTCTCCAGCTCAGCACCAAGGAGAAAACTTGTTTTTCAAGGTACGTTTCCACTTGAAAACGGACTTGGCTCCTGTGGCTCGCCCTGCCCGCCCCCACGCAGTAGGCAGCGGCGCTGGCAGCCGGTTCGCCCCTCGGCGAGCACGCTGGCTCTCTGCCCTCCGTCTCGGCCTGGTTTCCCGGCCAGTCGAACCGGGATTTTGAGGCAGAGGGCGTACCGAGAAGACCACAACTTCGCAGCTTTTTCAGATCTAACCTGATATTGTGGCCATTTCCTTAGCTGTGGGTAAAAGCATCTGCCTCAGTGAGGTCCGATGTTCTGCCCTGTAAATAAAACTTGGCAGCCCTCCCCTCCCAGATGGTGACCGTCCCCGGGCCCAGAGCTGCCACGTGGCCAGGGCTCCACGGTGTCCCTGCCATTCCCCTCTGCCCCTCCCCGGGTCTCTTTGACTAGTAATGAAAGACCCCTCTGTTTTATTTAAAACCTTTCCAATCCCGAGTCTGAAAGAGCAGATGCACACTTTTGATAGTGGTGCTCTCCTGCTGGCCTCGGGCCACAGACACAGACCGACCCCGGGACAAGTTGGGCTGCTGCCGACACCCTGCACCCCCGCCCGGCCCCGCTGCCACCTCCTGGGGGCCCAGGCCTTCCCTTGGGCTGCACTGACCAAGTTCCTTTCTCTGCTTCCTCCCTTGTTCACTCCACGTTGTCACTGCACACCCTGACCACACGCGTGGGGACGGTCACCAGGCCTGCACCCCGACCCCAGTAGGAGTCAGCACCCCACTGAGAAGGCACCTTTTCAGGACAGGTAGAAAGAGGGGGCTACCTGAGGTGACTGTTTGTTACAGTGATGCTGTGGGCCCCTCCGGGTCCTCGCACCACCTGATGCCCCTCGTGGAAACCCTGGCCTGTCTCTCAGAGCCTCTCTTCGGGGGGGCTCAGTGCTTGGAGGGTCCCAAACTGCTGAACTGCCTCCACGTGAGCCAGCCTATGAATTTGAATTGGGATGAAACCTCTGATCCCTGTGAACAAGCCCCTGGAGGGTCCTCACCATGGAAGTGAAAGGCACCAGGACAGGAAGAATTTCAACATTCCTAGGCTACCGACTAACCGAGTGACGCGTGTGTGTGACTGAGGAAGGCAGTGGGGGCCTTTCTAACCAAGTGTCCCAGGTTCTGATCGGGTTTTCTCTGCAGAGTCCCCGAGCCCAGGCAGGCACCAAGCCCTGAGGGCAGCCCCCTGGCCCAGGTGGAGTCTGGTGCCCCGGCCCGCAGCCCGGAGGGTCACACCTGGGGGTGCCCCTGTGAGGCAGCCGCCGAGGCCCCCCCTCACACTACCAAAATGACAGGGCCACGACTTAACAGGCAGGGTTACTTGCAGGCCATAGAATTAAGCTGTAACAAGCCGACTGCCTTTGACTCAGATGGAGAAATGGGTGTGTTTCTCTGTCTAAAGGAGGCCATTCAAGCACATGGTTTCTGCCTCAAACCCTCTGCACCTGACCCTCTGAATCAAGGACTTTGCACACACAGCTCTGCGGAAACCTGCTCACGTGATCAAGTGCACACTCAGTCAAGGCGTCCGCGATTAAGGGCAGGATGGAGTTGACCTGACTGAGTAATTTGAAGGCAGCTGTGCACGCACACACACCGTGATTGGTGCTCACCCGGCTCTGTAGGAGTGCTACGCTCGTGCGAGTGCACTTGCTGAAAGTCACTTTCTCCTAAACGGGAGCCGAAGACTAAAACGATGCCTAAGGCCACCGTGGACACCGAAGGCAGGGCCCTGCCCCCAGACGCACTGCCGGCCCCCCTGGGTCTGTGGCTCAGTGCATGACAGAGCTCGGGGACAGTCCCAGGCCACCAGAAATTCTTACAGGTGGGAGGAGGGGGAGAGTTGGTGCTGAAACTCAACCGGCTGTGGCACAGCTGGTGTGGTGACAAAAACACGGGGGGGGCGTTCTTCTCACAGCGCTTTCAGGGCCTGGGACAGTTTCGGGGGAAAAGCCCGTGAGAACCTTGAGCCGCGGGCAGGGTGGGCGGTCCTGGTGCCGGAGACAGAAGCAACCGCTGCCTCAAATGGTGATGTGCCTGAGAGATGGGCCGCCGCCCGCTGCCCACTGCGTGAGTGCCTGGCCCCTGACCCCGCTGTCCCCCCACCGAGTGCGGGCCCTGACCCCTGACCCCGCCGCCCCTGACCCCCCTGGGGTTCGAGCCCCAAAGCAGAGGGGAAGGGCTCCTGGGACCTGCTCCCAGTGGGCTGGCGGGCATCCACTGAATGAACAGAAATATCTGAAAGAGACATTAAACACCAGGCAGTTTGAAAAAGCAATCTGTCACTTAAATCACAGATTATTGAAAACAATTCAGGCTGAAAGAACTATCTGCCTCCGGGGACTTTGGTTTCGGCAGAGGCCGAGTGTGCAGAAGCGGCGCGGGGCCAGGGCGGCTCCCACAGCACCGGCGACCCGGGTGGGGGACAAAGGTCCCCAAAACAAGGCCTGCTCCTCTCTCCACATCCCAGCTCCAACACCCGTCCTCATGCTCGAAAATGCTTCTCTGAGTGACCTGCGCCGGTCACCACCGGTCACACCCCGAGTCTGCGGCCGGGTGTCGGCCACGTTCCGCTCCTCGCCCGGGACAAGATGACCGAGGAGCTGCGGTTGGTCATCAGGCCGTGGGAGCGGCGCCAAAGTCCAAATACTTCATGTGAAAATTTGGGAGCATGTTTCCAGTTTCAGAATGACAAAAGCAATTCTGGGGGGTGGGGCGCACTGAGAAAATGCCAGACCCGTGCTTCTTGGAGTAAACTAAGAAAAAACAAACAAACCAACAATGAAAGCACTAAACTCACTCGAGGGGCCAATACCATAAACACCAGAACTTGCTTACAACACATTCGCAATCCCAACCAGGAGGGGGACACGCAGACCTGCCTTCAAACACTCGTGTGGCCCGTGTTCCCGGGGAAACTCGGGACTGGCAACACCTAAGATGCTGCCACTTCCCGACAACCTCTGGAGTGCGGTGTGGCTGGCCCTCAGCGGCAGGACCCCCGGTCCCCAGCACGGTGGGGCTGCCTTGCGGCCCCTGCCCTCCCGTCACTGGGGCTGTGGTGGGGGGACGACTCTGGCTATTGTCCTGGGCTGGAGCTGCGTCTAATGACCTTCAACCTGGTCTTCAAAGCTCCAGGAAGCATTTCCCTCCCCATATCCACATCTGGCTGTGCCCCTCCCCCACGGGCACGCCTCTGCGTGCAGGGGGTGACTCGCCCTTCCGGCCAAGGGTGGCCCCCAGCGACTGGCCCCAGGGCCTCACCCCAGAGGGAAGTGGCAGAACCTGCAGTGGTTTTAAGAGAAAATGGACATCGAGATTTTTTTGCCCCTGGAAGCTCACAAGTTTTAAAACATTGGCTCAACTTTAAAAATCTGGCTGGTGAGCTGGACAAGACCGTATGAGCACCAGCCCCGGGAAGGCAGCTGGCTGGCGCTTTCCCACGTACTCAGCTCAAAACCCCTGAACCGGCAGAGCCGGGGCGGGGCCCACAGGAGAACAGGGTCCCACGGGCAGGGACTCCTTTGTTCCCCAGGGACACCAAGCTCACGAGGAAGCTCACAGCTGTGACTGCCAGTTAAAGGGCCCTCGCTGTTCACAGGGCTCTGGCTCCGTTCAAGGTTATGCAAATAAGCAGCGAACGCCATCAACAGGTGTACCAGCACCTCCCTGTCCACACTCTTCCCTGCCTGCCTCGCTCACCCACGGTGTTTACTCTGTGCTTCGGATCATGTGTGGGCTCAGGCTCCATGAAACCTGTTAGAAAGCGTAGAACCGCAGGAGACGTATTTTTAAACAAAACAGTTTAGCTGGTGTAAAAACATAATCATCTGTTCTCCTTTTACGCTTTTAATTCAGGGGATCGGGATTCTCACTCAGCAGTAAGACGCCGAGGTTCAGAGCCAGGGGGCCGGCCGGGGGCCCGGTGCTGCAGGCTGGCCTCGGGGTCGCACAGGCGGGGTCTGGGACGGGCACGACTGGCATCCGAGCTACGCAGGGAGCTATGCCTCCCTGTCTGCCCTTGAACGGAAGTCCCACGCACAAGTGCATTCTGATCGTGAGCGACCTCAGGTGGACAGTGCCCCCGCATCCACACACTCTGCCTAAAACGGAAACGCCCGGAAAGGGCCGGGGGAGAAGCCGCATTACCTCCTTCTGCTGCCGCTCCAGCTCCTTCATCCTGATCTCGCGGGCCTCGGCGCGGGCCGCGCGCTTCGCCGCCAGCCTGGCCTCCGCCTGAAACACATGCAGAAACTGGGTCAGAGGGTGGACCAGCGGCCCCTTTCAAGTACATGGTTAACAAGGATGTTGTTTAAAGAAAACCCTGTTCAGAGGTTAACACACATACGGGAGCGCAGCACAGGCTCGGAAGAGTCAAAAGGGCCAGTGGTGGTAGCAGTCACGAGTCCTGATGATTGCTGCCATTCACAGAGCCACGAAAGGCCGTGGGTGCTATTCCACGGGCTTCAGGTACAGTGTGCCACGGACGACTCACAACCGTGCTACTAGGCAGATATGGTCACCAAACAACTCTATTAGGTGGATACTGTTACCAAATAGTGCTATTAAGTAGATGCTGTTGCCATCCCCCGGTTATATACATGGAACTAAGGCACAGAGAGGGTAAGTAACTTGCTTGAGGTCACACAGCCCATAAGTGGCCAGGCTGAGCAGTCTGCCTAACTCTGGAGCTACAACAGACTAATGCACGAGGCAAAGCTCTCGAGCAGGGCAGGCCCCCGGACCCCACCCCTCCCTCTACAGAGCAGGGAGGGAGGCAGGCAGAGGCGGCCAGATAACGTCCGAGGGCCCAGGCCCGAGACTCTAGCCCTGCTCTCCAGAGCTGCTGTCCAGTCCCCTCTGCTGCACCCTGCTGACCTCAGCTTCCTCCTCCACACCCGCTGCAGCGCCGGGAAGCCTGTCTTTTCTCCAGACCAAGACCAGAGCTGTTAGAAGCATTACAGTAAATATAAACACGTACCTGCCTCTGTTTAACTATCTGCCAACTTGGCTGTTCTCCACATTCTCCTTGAGAGCATTTAAAATGGTTGACCAGAGCCGACCACACCCTTGAACCTGGCACCTGGATGCTGCTTCACGCTGCGCCCATCTCGTGCTTAGTCACTATTTCAGGGAGGTGTGCGTGCAGGTGCGTCAGGGTTCAGGTTTTCTGGGGTCAAATTCTACCTTCTTTCCACTTAATTTTTTCAGGGACACACCCGTAACTCTTCCACCAGTTCTGCAGACATTTTCAGGTGTCTCTGGGTTCCCCAAATCACCTTGAAACCAGGCCATGGGAGACGGCCAGCAGGCTTCTGGTGCGGACAGTGGGCCAGCGAGCAGTGGGGTGCTTGGAGGTGCCACCAGGGACGGGGCCCCTGCAGTGCAGGCTGATGTCCCTGGTGTTAGGGACATCTGTCACCCCTGCCGCACACTCGCACTGAATTACAAATTCATCTGCTTTCTGCATTCTACTCGAAGTTGAAACTGACCCCAGCTGACCCGTCTGCAGTTGGCCAGCTGTGTCCTCAGAAGGAATTCACTTTATAATTTGTTCACGTGGTTCCTTCAACAACCAAGCCAGGTCCTTCAATGCAAGGTGTCAAAGTCACGACTATGTGAGAACTTGGACCCTTTGTGGCCATTTTCAATGTTCTGGACACTGTGTGAGGGGAAAGCTAGAGGGGAGGGCAGGGGAAGGTTCCTCAGACTGACATTGGCCACACGGATGTCCTCTAGCCCCACGGGTGGGCCAGCGAGAGGACAACTGTCACACCGAGGGCAGTGGCCCTCCAGCAGCCTGCTGGCCCTGTGTCCCTGCCAGCACAGACCTGCGGCCACAGCCCATCAGCTGGGGTGGGGCCGACGGGGAGGGGGCCAGGGAAAGAGAAGGGGGCAAGGGGTGGGGGGAGGAGGAAGGGAAGTGGGAGTGTAAGAGAGAGGCGGGGGCTACAGGGGGGGCAGAGGGGGACGGCAGTGGGGCAGGGGTTCCAGGGTGGCCCCTGCTCCCCACGATCTACTCCCCTCCAGTGTGGGCCCCACAGCATGACGGATGCCACTCCCTGGGCTGCAGTCTGTGGCAAATAGGCACAAATAATGACAGCCCCTCATCGGCAGACCCTGAGTGAATCACAAGACAGATTATTCTCGAGGGGGGGGGCGTGAGCTTGGACGAGGACCCAGATTGTATCTGATACAATCAAGTCGTCAAACGAACACAAGACACAAAATAGCAACAGGCCCCCACGGCCACAGGCCGACACCAGCCCACCCCTGCCGACAGGCCGTGGGAGGCCCTGCCCTGCCCTCCGCGTGCGGTGCAGGGCAGGCCCATCGCCGTCCCACGCGAGTGTAAGACGTGCTCTTGCACGCTCGGGGCCACAGTCTCATCAGAGGGGTAGCGGTTCCCCAATGCCTACTTGCACTTTCTGGACTGAGTTGGTGGCGTTGCCACACACCGGCTGCCACCAGCCCGGCCACACAAATGCACGGAGCTGCGCAAGCAGCTGGGAAGGACTCTCACAGAGCAGCCTGGGTCCCAGTCTCGGGATGCAGACAAAGCAGTTGGTGACCATGTACCAGTGGCAAGTGACGTGGGAGTGGGGGCTGGAGGGGAACTTAACCCAACCCTGGTGCCAAGAGGGCTTCCAGGAGGAGAGGAGCCCAAGGCCACACCCCGATGGCAATGCAGACAGCAGGCGGGGCAGGGGGCAGGGGGCAGGGTGGGTGGGCCACGACGGAGGGAGGAGGCTCAGGCTCGTGGCCGGGCAGGAAGTCCTGAGGGCGGAGGTCCAGGACTCAGCTCCCATATCTGCACCCGTATCAGCAGGAACACCGTGGGGCCTGACTTCTGACCTCTGGCTGGAATGCTGGCGGCCACGTGGGCACAGGTGGGGAAGCAGCAAGGCAGCTGCAGCCCAGTGGGTGAGCCCGGGGAACATGGGTGGGTGGGGCTGGCTGGGCCTCCACCGAGGATGACGCACAGCTGTGAGGCCACTGCCGGAGGTCCCCGGCTCCAGGTTCCAGGGACGTCCCAGGAGCCAACCGTGGAGAAGAAGCCCTGCCCCCACCCCCACCCTCCCCACCCCACCCCCCTGGCTGCCACCTGGATAGACCCTGGAGCACAGCCTCTGTGTTACCCCTCCCCCAACCTCATGGGAGGTGAGAACAGATAGAGGGACGTAGATGGATTTATGGAATTCGGGGGACAAAGTATTGTATAAACTGCTCAGGGCTCCAGAAGAAGGTTTAGAAACAAGACCATGGACACTCCCCGACCGGAGTCAGCAATTGGTAGTAGTTCCTGCTGGAGAAGCCTGCAGCCCCGTTGCTGACCTCACCCCCAGCCGGTTCTCCGACCTCAGGCTCTGGTCCGCAGGGCACAGCTCCCCGGGCCCCAGGCTGCTCCCACTGCCCGCAGGGCCCGCCCTGGGAGACGCAGCCTGGGGCCCTCAGCCCCACAGTCCCCTCACGGGGATCAGGAAGGGGTGGAGCGCTGGGTGCCGAGCCCCGCCTCCTCTGCCGGGTGCCGCCCCTCTGAGACCTATTCTCTGATGCCGGAGGGTGAGATGCCGGATTTGCGGAAACATGACCTGAGTGGGGAGGGGAGGGGGCCTCCGGGCAGTGCGCCACAGCTGTTGGGGCCGCGGGGCTCTCTCCACAGTGAAGGTGTCACACTGTCCTTCCCAGCAGAGGCGCCTCAGCCGGGCCTGTCAGAGATGCAGGGGACGCAGCCTCCAGCAGACCCCCAGTCAGAGCCTGGGGGTGGGGCAGCCATCGCTCAAGTGTGGGGCCTCTGCTTTCCGTCACCCCACCTACGTCTGGGTTGTTTGACAGTTTTCAAATAAACTGCAAACTTTTTTGAAGGAAAGAAGGAGGGAGACAAGGGGGGGCGGAGGGAGGAGATGAAGGCGCCTGGGCTCACTCCTGCCAGAGGGTGGCCAGGGCTCGGTGGCTCAGACAGCTGCAGGGCTGTGTCCCCTCCCCTGCCAGTGCACCCCGCCGTGCCCCTCTCCACCCCGTTCTGGTGCCGCCTGCAGGGTCGGCTGGAGTCCAGGGAGGTGCTGACCCAGGAGGGCCCCGCCGACACTGATGAGGTCCAGGCCCCCTGGCTTTCTCAGGACCACCAGCCCCGTGGGAGGGGAATGCCCCTTACAGGGGACACTCCCCGCCCCTCCCCAGGGCCCCTCCAGTGCTGGCCTGAATCCGGTACACAGAGCCTTAGAGACCTGGGCAACATGGGGAGCAGGGGGAGACGATGATGAAGACACCACTTAGCACTAAGCTGTTTCATTACAATTCTAAAAAGCTGAGCCCCCGCCTCCAAAGTGCCACTGCTACATTCTGTTTCACTGCAAAGAGGGCGGTGCTCCCACGTGCAAGGCAAGGGGGGACGGGGCTAACAAGGCACAGAAGCCGGGTCCCGGCCCCAGGGCCTCCCGACAGGGCACTCGGAGGCCAGCCCCCCAGGGGCCGGCCGAGTCCAGGCCACGGGGCACACAGGCTGGCCAGGGAGACAGACCACCACGGGGGCCCTGCCCCCCCTCCGCCCATGACCGGCCCTATTGGGGCAGCACAGCCCCCTGACGACGGCTGCAGAGACATGTGGCGAAGCTGTGGCCACAGCAGCAGTCACTTCGGTGATGGGCCCCTGAGCAGTGCTGAGGGCTGGTGCTCGGTAGCTCCGGACCAACCGCAGAGTAGACGTGGCTTTCACAGGGGCAGGAGACAAGGGCTATGGCTGAGCAGGCAGACACAGGCCTTTCCCGTCAGGCACCCGTCCTGTCCCACCCGCCCTGCACGCCAGGAATTCCGAAGATAAGAGCTTCCACCAAAGATAAGGGCTGCGCTTTCCTCCTGCCGGAACTGGACGGCCCGCTCTGGCTGTGGAGTCAGGCCCAGCAGAACTAGAGAGAGAGAAACCAGGAGAAACCCGGGCAGCCACACCCAGTCCCCAGCCGGCCAGCTGGGCTGCGGGCGGCTGTCCCCAGCCCTGCCTGCAGGGGAGGGTCCGCGCAGCAGGAGATGCTCCCCAGCGTGGGGTGGCCACACGCGTCCCCAGCACTGCCACGCCCCAATTCCACTGGGCTCTGTGTCCTTCTTGGGGTTCCTATGCATTTGCCCAGAGGGCCCACGTGGTGCACCTCAGAGAACAGAACCGGGACGGATGCTGGGGCCCAGGGGCCCAAGTCCCCACTGCTTGGAGAGGACAAGGGTATGGCAGGAAGCAGACCCAC